AATGCGATAATTCGTTTGGAGGTTTTCGGAAACATTTACGTTAGTAAATTGTGAAAATTCTCAGATCCACGCCTTGCCTAATTGTAATGGAATGTGTAAGGTCACGTGGTCAGCTCAGCGAGTCATTCACACTCGCGCGCTCACCACCGCTAACATGAAGCACGTCTATTTTGAAGAAGGCTTTAATGACAAAGAAGTAAAAACAAATATACAATTGGAGATCAGGACCCATTCTTTGCCGGGAATCTATTTTTGGTGTCATAGAGGTTTCTGGCATGACCTAAACTATCTGGGTCCAGATGGTGTAAATCTGTGCTGCACCCCCTCGCGCGTCCAACCTATGCGGAAGTTCCTTTGAAGTATAAGGAATGCAGTTATTCAATTGCCAAGCTTATTAAGGCCAGTATAACTTTTTGTCTCATTCTACATGAATTGCACACTGGGGTGCTTATGTTTGTGGTAGGCTACCAAGTTTTAAGGTCATAAGAGAGAATTAATTGCTCTGTCAGTCAGTGCTATTCGTTAAAGGTTAGTTGATGTCTTGATGGCTGTTTGCTGTTAGGCAATAAAATCAATGTTCGAAATATTTAGAATCATGCATGCATGTTTGGTGAACTTGTTACTGACAAGACATATTCAGGACCAGGTGGCTCATAATGACAATGGTTTCGTCTTATGAAGCAGTTATCTATCTGGGCATTGTTTCGCATTATCTCGTTTCTTTATTGTTCATTCTTGCGTACAATATAGGTAGGAAACTAGAAGTCAAAGTATATATTCTGTCTGATTATTATTAATTACAATCGGTATGACGTTTAGGTCTTATGTACTTATCGTTTGGAAGTAAAGGTACACAATCAACATATGAACCTACCCACGTGTTAAGCAATAGTACAGAGTAGGCCGCATATAAGTACTCATTGTATGGGAGTCTAGGTGCAAAGTTTATCTGTGCTTACCCATGTTTAACAATGGTACGGAGTAGGCCGAATATAAGTACTCATTGTATGGGAGTCTAGGTGCAAAGTTTATATGTGCCTACCCATAGTTAACAATGGTACGGAGTAGGCCGAATATAAGTACTCATTGTATGGGAGTCTAGGTGCAAAGTTTATATGTGCCTACCCATAGTTAACAATGGTACGGAGTAGGCCGAATATAAGTACTCATTGTATGGGAGTCTAGGTGCAAAGTTTATATGTGCCTACCCATAGTTAACAATGGTACGGAGTAGGCCGCATATAAGTACTCATTGTATGGGAGTCTAGGTGCAAAGTTTATATGTGCCTACCCATAGTTAACAATGGTACGGAGTAGGCCGCATATAAGTACTCATTGTATGGGAGTCTAGGTGCAAAGTTTACCTGTGCCTACCCATAGTTAACAATGGTACGGAGTAGGCCGCATATATGTACTCAGTGTATGGGAGTTTTAGGTACAAAGTTTATCTGTGCCTACCCATAGTTAACATTGGTACGGAGTAGGCCGCATATATGTACTTATTGTGTGGGAGTTTAGGTTCAAAGTTGTTATGTACCTATCTATCCAAGTATTAAATAATAGTACAGAATTGTAGTCTTCCTTAATGTATTTTTTTACCAGTTGCACTTGATTAAATGGTTTTGTCTATCAAGTTTCTAAACTGTGCTTATGTTTAAGGTTTGTACCTAGGGATAAACATTGGATTTATAAGTTCTATATTGTTATATTGCTAATGATTGTTTGAGGAAGTTCAATTGCAATTGCACTGTGTGCTTCACTTAAGTAATTGTTGATACGTTACCCAGTGTCTAGTTGAATTAAATTTGTCATTAATTTGCACATATCGTAAGGTGACAAGATATGTAAAGTGATTGTTGGGTAACAGGTAAACATTATAATCAAGATTCTATCATTTTGGTATGTTTTACACGATTTTAGTATTGTTTCCAGTTAGCAATAGTACAGAGTATGCCGCATATATGTACTAATTGTGTGGGAGTTTTTGGGTACAAGTTTATTTGTGCCTACCCACGCTTTTAAGCAATAGTACAGATTAGGCTGCATATATGTACTTATTGTGTGGGAGTTTTGGGTACAAAGTTTATCTGAGCCTACGCACGGTGTTTATCAATAGCACAGAGTAAGCCGCGTATATGTTCTTATTGTGATGGAGTCTAGGGTTCATTATTTATTTGTACCTATCCATATGTAGAGATGAGAACAAGGCTAAGGGTTTCTTTGTACTAGTAACAGTTTATGTCGTGTTATACTTTTTGATTTGGAGATTTTTTAAGTTAATTGTGGTCGAAGAAATGAAATTTCTCAAGATCAATGGCTTTAATTCGTTGTGCATTGGCATACCTATATTCAAGGAGTTTGTTCCTGGTATCCTTGTAGATTTTACATATATACCAATAAGAAATAGTTATCCATTTATTTGCACATTATGACATTTGCGTCTAATGTGGCAGGATTTCATTTAGTGTAGAGTCATCCGTACGCTCGATGTTCATGTTTTGTGCGGAGTTTATATGTATGCTTATGGGTCGAAGTTATCCATACTTTCACTGTCTGGTTTTAAAGTATATATGCCTTATTACATCTAAACATAGTGGCAACTTCATTTCATGTTCATTGCAGTCAATTGCAAGAAAGAGTATCACAATACTTCTTAGTTGCTACAAAGTACATGTTACAAATACTTGTCAAATAGTGGTATCTCCTATACATGTGACATTTTATTCTTTTGTAATGGAGTTAACATATTTATTCTGATTTATCGACATTTCTTTAATTTGCTATTGATAAAATTGGTAGAATCATGGAATATGTAGAATTTCGTCAAAGCGAATCCTCTCAGCAGAGAATTAATCGATTACTATCAGTATGATTGTAATACAATATATATTTTATATAACGGTTATTCTACAGGAGGAAATTTACTCTTTCTGTTCAATGTTGCTACATTTAGTGTTTCTATGAGCATGATAATGTACATGATGTATCACATTGTTTACAACTCAGTTGTTGGTTTTTTTTGGCGTCCTTTCTTTAAATGACACCTTAGACTTAAAAGTATTCATATAATTTTCATGTTTAAGTTGCAGATGCCTTTTGATGAATTTGCCAGTGTGCAAATTTGCTACATCCTAGCAGCCCGAGTGAAGAGGAAGCGTAGCTATAACTGTTAATAGCCCAGAGAGCCTAGCAGAATTGTGCCGGATGCCATGAATGTTAATGACACAGGTTTGAACTGTTTAACAAATATTGACTCAGCGAGCGGTTCTATCTAACAAATTGCATAAGATCCGCACCGCCGATGGATAATGTCCTAAACCAGCCCGTCCACTAGTGTTTTCTAAATACATTTTGACTTTACCAACAACTTTCATGCTATCCGCCGGTATAAGATCCATATGTTTGCTAGCTTAACTGCTTGCAGTGCTGCTACAGGTGTGCCCCAAATCAGCCGGGTAACCAGGATATCCACTACCATTGGTTCACAAAGCATCCATACAAGCTAGAGCATTCAATTTGGTTTCGAAGAAAACATTTACAGGCGAGTCAGCAAGTAAATAATATACGACGACCCCTCCCTCCATGATATTTCAAATAAGTTCCCTATATAGCTATGAAATATAGGTTTAATTTATTTTTATAAATGAGTACAGACCCCATGCACGGTCAGTACATTAAAGGAAAGGATTTTCAATTTATGTCCCTTTTCGGAAATTAAGCATTGTCAGGCTAGAATACAATAATAATAATTATAATAAATTATTTTAAAATGTTTCTAATAGACAGCATAATGAAAGACATTGTTTTGATTTACTAGCTCATGTGGTACATTGTACGTTTCTGCGGTCTTTATCTTTAAATATTGATTTGCATTAATTAACCCCATGTAAAATTTTCTCAATCATTTATTTATATAAATGTTCTATAAATTTTCAGTCTTGTTTGACATCTGTAGTTGAAAGATAATCCGTTTTCTTTTGATGTTTAGGAAGGGCATTTTTGCACATGGTGGCAGTATTTCATTCTTGACATCTCTTTCCTGTCTGACGATAGCAATGTTATAAACTCATTCTTGTTATCAAATTTATGGTTAGATCCTAGGATTGCGTTCTTTGAATTTGCTATGCTTAGCTCTACATAATTTCAGTGTGGTAAATTAATGTCTTACGGATTCCCTATGCTCATGAAATTTTCTATCCTTAATTTTAATTGGCCGGTCAGTTTGAAAGTAGGCAGAGTTGTCAAAGAACCGATTTGTGAGTTTGTAAGGAAGGCAATCTAGGAACATTATTGTGTTTTTCAGTTTTGTATTCCATCTACGAAAGTTGTTCCAAATTTGTGAAATTTAGATTTTTAGATTTACAATAAATTCTGATCTTTAGAACCAACTTTTCAATTGACACAATATTACATGGTGAATTTAGTTTAATCTAGGAATGTTACACTCTATCCAAAACGCTTAGGAACATAATGAATTAACCTTCATCGTGCAAAACTTCTTTATACTTTTTGGAGTAGAAGTATGGTAGATTCCTCCATTAAAAGGGCATACTTCATGGAATTAATGGATACAACCTCTTGGGTCCGACAGTTCCAAGAGAAAGGGCTGTTATGCAAATATTTTGGGGTTGTTTATATTTGTTGAATTTCTGATACAAATTTAAAAAAAAAAAAAAAAAAAAAAAAAAAAAAAAAAAAAAAAAAAAAAAAAAAAAAAAAAAAAAATAAAAAAAAAAAAAAAAAAAAAAAAAAAATAATAAAAAAAAAAATTTAATAAAAAATAAAAAAATAAATAAATAAATATAAAATAAACACTCGCATAGATATAAAGTTAAATAATTCAAGGTTGTAATAAGTAGAATGATATCTGAACGTGTGTCCTCCTCATGAGCACTCTCCGCATGATTCTTTTTCAATCTTCATAATTCTCTCAATTTATTATACCTGTTTTGTGGAACTAAAGTATGTACAGTAATTTAATTGTACCTTGATTTCAAATGGAGGGAACTACAATATAGGTCCGAAGATCAAATATTAGTCAATGTTAATTATTGTTTTGTTCCACTTAAAAATAAATAAATAAAGAAATAAATGAATAAAAAATAAATAAATAATTATAAATGAATAAAAATAATAATAATAATAATAATATAGCATTTAATTACTATGTTTGTTCTAGAATGTAGTTTAATTGCGAGTCGGTGTTTAACTGCAGTTCTGTTCTATTCATGATAAATACTTAGATACTGTGATGTGGTTTAAATACAGGTCAGTGATTTAACTGCTGTTTTGTTCTACTCGTGAAAATTAGTAAGATATTAGGATGTAATTTAAATGCAAGTCAGCGATTTAACTGCTGTTTTGTTATACTCACGATAAATATTTTGATACTCACTAAGTATGTAGTGTAAATACAGGTCAGTGATTTAACTGCTGTTTTGTTATATTCATGATAAATAGTTAAATATTAGGATGTAGTTTAAATACAGGTCAGTGATTTCACTGCTGTTTTGTTCTACTCTTACAATTAAAAATACCGTAAGGAACATGTTAATTCCCACATTGACAGGTCAGTGAATACCTGCTGTTGGATATCTAAATACTCCTCGTCTGACTTTGCTTACTTGCTGGCTCAATAAACAATATTTTTCGATATGTCATTTTCTCTGAAATTAGTTTTCTTCCATACTTACATGTATTACTCAATATTGTTATTTATTAACATTGCTCGGAGATTATATTAATACCGGTATTTCCTCCATTATTTGACATGTAACTACATTTTAGTGATAACTGGTAATGGAATAATTAATGAAAGGTAGAATTTTGTTTTTCATTTCATTACTTTAAGATGTTTGGAGAGGCCAGTGATTAACTGCCTTCATATAGATTTGATTTGTGCAAGCTCACCTTGGATGGCACGGATGTGATTTGCATGTCACATCTTACATGGATGTGACCTGCATATCACATCTTGTGGCCTATTTTATTTTGATGTGCCATCTATTTGCTAACTTTTTAATATGATGTTTTGATTGTCTTGTCTTACAGATACTTTTTTATAGTCAGTTTTGGGGGATCAGACATTATCATATTTTACGTAACTGATAAGCAAAGCTTGTGAATCTGATCCCCCTTCTTGTTTGTTAAATTGTTCACATTTATACCGTCATTTTAATAAATGACATTTTTCATCAACATCAAAGTGTTTTATTTGACTTTTACAAAATTAGCAAAAACAAGCTGCGGTGATCTTGCCTATAAGCATTAGAAGACATAAAACAGCAATTATTAGAATAATAATTGTATTTATGTATTTAATGCGATAATTTGTTTGGAGGTTTTCGGAAACATTTACGTTGGTAAATTGTGAAAATTCTCAGATCCACGCCTTGCCTAATTGTAATGGAATGTGTAAGGTCACGTGGTCAGCTCAGCGAGTCATTCACACTCGCGCGCTCACCACCGCTAACATGAAGCACGTCTATTTTGAAGACCCACCTCCACCCCAACATTCCTATCCCTTAATATGATCATTAATGTGTCATGTAAAATTTATATTATATTATAGTTTTTACTCAATTGTTTTACGCTTTCATGTATTTGGTTTTGATTATGATCTTTTTGCAAACTTTTTCTTTTGAGGTTTTGTTTGTGTCTTTGATGTACCATCTTTTTGCCAACTTTTTCTTGTGATGTTTGCCTATTTTATTTTGATGTGCCATCTATTTGCTAACTTTTTAATATGATGTTTTGATTGTCTTGTCTTACAGATACTTTTTTATAGTCAGTTTTGGGGGATCAGACATTATCATATTTTACGTAACTGATAAGCAAAGCTTGTGAATCTGATCCCCCTTCTTGTTTGTTAAATTGTTCACATTTATACCGTCATTTTAATAAATGACATTTTTCATCAACATCAAAGTGTTTTATTTGACTTTACAAAATTAGCAAAAACAAGCTGCGGTGATCTTGCCTATAAGCATTAGAAGACATAAATATACTTGTGTAAATGTCCTTACAACATACCGTTATTCATTGGTTTGCTGCATAATTACAAAAAGATTTTAAATTCGCATTGCCTGTCTAGTTTAATCGATAAAACTTACAAAAGGGTTGCACCACTTTGTTAGTTACCGGAATACTTGGTGCAAGCAAAGGGTTTACTCGATATTGGATTATTTAATTGAGGGAAGGTAAATATCCTTTCAAAACTCATAATTATGTAAATATTGTTAGATCAAGTGAACAATATAATTAACTAACTTAACATTACATCAAGATTCGGGTAAGGGATGAAATAAGGTGATTAACATTCAAATCCTTAATATTAATTGACATTTAATTATAGTTTTATCAATAGATTAACTTCGGTTTAGCAAAATACGAGGGGGTTGTTCAAGAAGTTCGCGAAATATCTCTAAACCATTTTCAAAACCTCGGTTCAGATCAGAATGAAATTTGACACACCTATAGTTATGCACATGTTCTATAGACAGCATATGAAAGGTATTGATTTTCTTCATCATTGTGACGTCACAATGTGAAAATGACTTCAATATGTAGGTTACTTGTGACGAAATATTGTTGTCTCAGCCTTACTCGTTCAACGAACAGCTGTAAATTTAATTTTAACGTATCACTGGAAATTCCTTTAAAGTATCTTATAATAATTTGTACAAGGTTTATGAAGACAATAGACTTTCCAGATGTTCAATCATAGATTGGATTGTTTGTTTTACTGAAGGGAGGGAGATGGTTAAAAATGAAGTTTGTTTTGCACCGCCAGGGAAAGCAAAATGGGGAAGAGATGAATACTTTATTAGGCAATTTGTCATGAAAGATCGCGAAGTTACAGTTCGAAAAATGGTTGAGTACCTTATCAATATTACTATTAAATCCCTAAAATATCTTTTAACTTTGACTTTTATCATATTAAATATGATAAAAAGAAGGCACCCAAACTACATACAGTTGACTATATCCATGTTTGATAAACGACATTCCTAAGACAGGAGATCTCAGGTTGTGATGGTCACCATGTTCTAACTGGGAAAGGATATCCATGTCCAACCATACTATCTTCGAAATTTGGTCATTTCTGACAAATGGACCGTTCTCTTTCTCTCTCTCTCAAAACGCATATTCCAGAAGCATTTCCATGAAGAGGAGCATAAGACATTTTAAGTACTTTTTTATTGATGTGAAATGGAGACATCACAGTTAGTGAATATGGAATAATTTTTTGTACTTATCACTCAGAATGCTTGAATTTAAACCTAATCTAAAAATACAAGAAATTTGTTGGAAACCAGATAAACTTTACTCTATAGATATTTTATTAATAAAACAATATGTAACTGTTAATAATCAATCCCTGTTTTAAAGGTTTTAGAACATCACAGGAATTATAGAGAAACTTTTGTAATAGGCCTACACGAAATACAGTATGTCAAACTGACACACAATTTTCATTTCCGTAAGTCATTTTGAGTATTGAATGTAATCCATGACTGCAATCAGTGGTTATCCCCACAATGCCTTCCGGTAAAAATTCCTATTACCGTCATGAGAGCATTGTAGTTGATTGTGAACATAGTTATACTTTGAGCAAAAGGAATATGTCCTCGTCTTCAAACTGAATTGCATTCAAAGGGAAAATTTTCAAAAATACTTCACAAATGAGAGCATTCAATCTTAAATTCACGATTTGTGAAAATTAGTTCGTTTTTAAAATCTTGCTGATACTCACATTTCAGTTATTATTGTTTAATAATTTTATAATTCTCTAATATTATTATTATTTGATTAACGTTTATTTTTAGATTTCTTGTAATGGCAACAGGTGGTAAAATACTAGATGCGCTTAAGGATGAGTTCTGTGAATGTCCTATTTGTACTGAGGAATATGATGAAGAAAAACATGTTCCAAGGCTTCTTCCATGTCAGCATTCTTTCTGCACTGAATGCCTTGAAAAGAGCGTAAAAGGTGGAAAGCTGAATTGTTCCATATGTAAACGCAGTTATAGAGTAAAAGAAATGGGTGTAGATTGCTTTCCAAAAGATCTTACGAAGCGAAGCTTGGGGGATGTCTTACAAAGAATTAAAGCAACCTCTTGTTGTATTTGCAGTAGGATAGAAGGTATAAGATATGAATGTACATCCTGCAATATAAAAGTCTGTAAAAGCTGTTTCAAGGTCCGTAAATCAACTGATTGCAAGCATCATCAATTGAAAGAAGTATCTATGGATAGTAATGAATCCCCTGATTCCTCTCTGGACTCTCTAGAGATGAATGCGGAAAATATATGCAACCTACCATTTCATGAAAAAAATATATTGAAGTTTTATTGTAAAAACAATGATTGTCGGAAACCAATTTGCGCCAATTGTGCAACAAAAGATCACAAATCTCATGACTGGGAAGAAATAGATCTGTATTATAAAAACGAAAAAGAAGCAGCCCTTTCTCGTTTATCATTAGCTAAGGAGAAGATTGAAAAGGCAAAAGATGTGTTATCAGCCATAAAGAAGGAAAAGGAGAAAATTATGCAAAATGATAAAACGGGAAAAGCGGCCATCCAAAATGAAAAACAGAATGGAATCGATTATCTTAATCAGGAAATAGAAGAATTGTGCCAAGCAAGCACACAGATTGTCAAAGAGTACACCGAAACATTTGAAAAAAAGATGTCATTCTTATCGAATTTTATTGAGAACGCCCAGGAATGTTGTTCTATATCGGAAGAGCTACTAAAGGAAAACAAATTGTCCTTTTTGTCCCTGGAAAAAACAATTTCTGAGAAATTGGAAAAGTTTGGGAAAGAATCTTTTCCCGAAGAGACGTCAGGTATTGACAGTGAATCTTTATTGCTTAATGATGAATGTAAGATTCTTAGAAGAAAAATTGAGAAAATGAGAGATCCATATTTAGAGATGGACGATCATCCCCTGTTTGAAATAACACCAGAAGGACAGAATGACCAAGGTAAAAAATAAAACAATTCAAAAGAAATAAATACGAATAAAAAATGAGCTTAATAGGTGTGTAACTTGCAAAATTATGCTATATTTTCAAGCAGATGATAGGGTCAGCTGACTATACATGTACCTTGGTAGACTTTACAAATTAACGTAGATAAGATTTGAAATCATTTCCAAAACTAGTATCTCATTATAAATATCTGAAAAGTAATGTTTCTTCGAAAATTTAATTTTCAGTCTTCAGGTGGAAAAAAATAAATGAACTTTTGGAGATAACGAATAGAATTATGTAATTTGAAAAAAAATATATAGGAGTATTTAATATTACAAGTACATTCGATCTATTTTTGACCGCTTAGTTACAGAATAAATTAAACTTCAATTTAAAGATTTAAAAGAAATAGTTATAATCAAACTAAAATATTCCCGTAGAATGATAGAGGAACGCTTAATTATTGTCTTAGGGTCTTCTTTATCTATAATAAACGTTGTGACTTTAACTTTTCTATCGTCAACTTCCCTTACTTATGCAGCAATATACCTTCATCACCTGGATACGGAGTTTACATATCTCAGTTGATTAGATACACAAGAACATGCTCTACGTATGAACAATTTCTAAAACGAGGTGAATTATTGACAAACAAATTGATGAAACAAGAATATCAACAGTCTCGTTTAAAGTCATCATTTTGTAAGTTCTATGGTTGATACAATGACCTCATCAGCAAATACAATATATCATTGAGTTAAATGCTTACTGACGTTTTTCATACTAACTGATAGTCCATTATTTATACACTGAATTATCGACGGAATTTTCCGTTATTTCCCAATCATGACAAGGTTCACACGACGGGTGTGACCGGTCGGCAGGGGATGCTCACTCCTCCATGGCACCTGATCCCACCTCTGATGTTCTAGAGGTCCGTGTTTGCTCTGCTCCTATTTTGTATTGGTTTTTTGGCGACTTTTGATCTTGAATACTGTTTCTTATCTCTATATTTTTTGTTCCATTTATTGAAAACAAATGTTTGCAAGCTTTTAAAACATTCAATATGCACTCAAATAATAATTTTTAACATTGACTATAACATTGGAATGGTTAACACTAGGACTAATATCCTGTATACGTTTAAAAGATATGTTCCATGAAACAAGGCTTTCAATCGATTCTTAGATTTTTGACACTTTGACTTTTACTTAGTAGGGCTTTCATCTTCCACATACATATATGCATTATTTTTTGACAAGACTCTCTTTTGGGGCAAATTAATTTTGACCCATTAGGCTTTACAGTGACTTTTGACTTCGTTTTCAAAAACACTTCATCCTTAACCATAAAGATCAATGGTTGATACTAGGGCTTTCGTGTTTACATTCCCTGAGACAAGCTTTTTGTTTGGGTAACAACCTATTTTTGTTGAACTTTGAATTAAACTTGCATTTGAAAAAGATTAAACTTCGACATGAGCTTTACCTCGGAAACTAAATTCTATAATTCAAGAACACAAGTTGGTTTTTAAATAAAATTAACTCATATTTAAAGAGACAGTATGGGCATCTTTTAAAATACAAACTTGATACATTTTTAAATAAGATTTTGTATTGCTGTATTGAATTTTGTATTGAATGAATTCAGAATTACTAAAAATTAAAAGATTCATAATAAAACAGTATTGTTTTTCGTTAAAAGCATTTAACAATTATGACCATAAATATTTACATTGCAAAGTCTTAGAGATTTGCATTCCATGCTTTTTAACAAAACGGCATGATAAAAACAAATATAGCCAGGTAAGCATGTTATTTTGAGTAAAAGTGGATCAAGATGGGGAAAATACTAAAATAGAGCTTGAAAAATAAAATTTCCTGACAATTTTTTTGGAGGGAGGATTTAATAAACCGTTGGATGAAGAAGAAATGGGAGATCGTCGACACTCACGCATGGCTCGAAAAAGGTCTCCTGGATGGTTATTTAATACAAGTTACCATACCTCTCTTTTTTCATCGTTTTCAACGAAAAACAAAATGTATTTCTAAAACAGTTATACCCCCCATGGCAGCTTTTGGTAAAGATTGAATTTTCTCAAATGCAGGTAAATCTCCAATGTCAATAGATGTAAAGTTACATAAAAAGAACTTGGCTCAGTGAATTTACTTGAACTATGAAAAATAACATTAATCAGTCAAGAAGTTATGGCCAAGAATACTGTTTTTCTGATATATGGGTCAATAGACTAGGTTAAGGTAAAGTAGACAAATTAAAGATACCCAGGGAAGGACAAAATAAAGGTCTTACTACTAACTATTCAAAGTTGTGTCCAGGTTTAAAGTTTATTTGAAAGTGGGTCAAACGGAAAGATTTAGGATAAAAAGTCAAACACATTTACATTTATGGAGAGGTCTTGGCACAATAACTAAGCTTTTAAAAGGGCTTACATCAACATTTCAAAAGCTATTGCCAAGGTTAAAGTTTGGTAATTCTGTGCAAAAATGGTCAAACCCCAAGGTCAAGAGGTCAAATATGTTGTATCCAATGAAAGGTATTGTCACAGTGAATATACATTTGAAATATGATGTCCATACCTAAAACCAATCATACGATATCGGCAAAAGTTTTTGCAGTAAAATAGACAAACGTACAGACAAATAGACAGACAGCTAGCAAACAGACATACAAACAGACAGACAGGACAAAAACTTTATGCCCATAAATCTTCGATTACGAGGACATAAAAGCACATACTTTGCATCAGAACTGTCTCGTTAAACCATTTAACAAAAAGAGTAATTTTTTTTTCATTTTTGTTATAGGAGTTATGTCATTCTTCACAAAATCTGCTTGTGTTTGCTTGAAAACGATGATATGTTTGGCTGCAATAATGTTTATATACAAGGAGTTCAAAGTATGGTGGGACCTGCCATATTGTGAAGTACAAACATGTGATGGTAAAGAAAGAAATAATATAATCTAAGAAACTATCATATTCAGAAAGGACTCAAACTCCACGTAGATATATGAGCTATTAACTTTAATATTATTTTTTAAAAACCAAACAAACATTTCGACGTGCATGCATTGTGGCAACGATATTTAAAAAATAATGATTTTTGATAACAGTTTTTTTTAAATTGCATCAAACACTGCTAAAATTAGGACAAAGTGAACGCAATTTGAAAAAATAAAGTGTATTTAATTGAGGACAAAATCAACACACTTAGATTTTTTTTATGTACAAAAAAAGATTGAAAAATATGCATACAATAAAATATATGGACTTAAATTAAATAAACAGACAGCATTATTTTGGTATAATATACACTTATAAGAATACTATCCACCCCCTCTCTATATATAAACTTAACACAACATAGGTGTGAGCCAGACAAGCTTTGCAGGCAGCCGGCTTTTGATAATTTTATTAACTTCCTTATGTAACAAGACAAATCCTTATTATTTAAATAAACCATGATTTAAACAATTATGCAAAATATCTTCATAATCGACATTAAAAACCGCCCAGGAAAAACCAAAGATAAGATATATGAAAAAAATATGGAAACTTGTGTCCGAACGCAAGTGTTAAGTAATGTCTAGGGGTGAATATCGGACTTATTCATATAAAAAACGAAAACAAAAAATACATGAATATATATTTGAATTTAAACATTCTCGTCAAAACAAAATAAGAAAAAAAAATAGTGCTCCGTGCACTGAGAAAGACTGGCTTAGAATGACTTAACTTTACGCAAATGACCCTTTATACTGGCCTTCCTATGGCCCGCCTTGTATTACTACGCATATCCATTCAAACACGCTGCTATCGTACAACGTTTTCCCGCTATTCTCCGAAACGCGGGAAAACTCTATTATATTTGTTTCGCAAAAAATGAATTGATCTACGGTTACCTAGAACGAGAAGAAAGATGGTCCAAGGTCTCCCTGCCTAAATATATAACTTTCTTACCCTAATACTGTATTATGTACATGTATTTAAAATTTAAATAACTTGAAAGTCATTGATATACATTCTGAAAATATATATATATATATATATATATATATATATATATTTTTTTTTTTAGAAAAAGCAGTCTTTTATAAAGGAAGCTCAGGGCCCATATCGCTCAGATAATTAAATTATTATTGAAATGCATTAATATTTTTTCTAGCCTCTGAATACTTTCAGCTATCTTTAAAGAAGGTCTTTCTTGTATGGCGATAATCACTTTTTCGTGACAGAGAGAGAGAATTTAATACTCTGGAAAAATTCTTTAAATATCTTTGATTCATGTCATAGCATGTCAAAAAAATGAAATATTTATGGATTTTAGTATATTGATCTTCACCTTCTCGTTTGATTATTTTTTTTCAGACGCTGTTTTGGCATTTTCCAATAGCTCCTACCATTCTTCATTTTGTCGATCACAAGATGGAAAAGTTGCATCTAGTCTTTCAATAATCGGTACCGAACAAACTTGTGGAAATCCGGATCATCCTTTTGTCGAAGGTGGCATCTTTCTCAACAAAACTTTAAATTTTTCAGATGGATACGATATTATGGATTTTCAGATTCACTTAACAGATTTCCATGAAGAAACCAGGGGGAAACCTTTTTTTAGCATAGGGTTTTCACATAGGTCAATTTATAAAAATGAAACAACGGAGGATTTTGAATGGAAATTAATTCGATCAAAATATGAAGATAGACTAGAACTCTTAAATACTTTAGACATAAAGATTAATAGCATAAGCGCTACATCACATTCAAAAATTGTGATGAACTATCGAGTAATTAAAGATAATATGAACAGAAACATAAAAATAACCAATTTAGATAATAAGAAAATTATGGATACCTTTCACATGCAAGAAAAGCAATATCCTACTCTATTCGTATACTTTCGGCTTTGTGAAAAGTCTTTTGCAAGGATAACAGTAAAGTCCCTATCTAACGGAATAGCATTTAATGCCACTTCAATGTTTCCCAATGTGTATTTATCTAACAGTAATAAAACTGCACGAAATTACCCCAGTCCAAACCAAGCTGACGTTGTGAGATCAAACTTAACACAAGATATACAAATTCTCAACTGCGAAAAGCTTTGTGTTTTTCCATTCACCATTTCAATTTCACCTTTTTTTCTATCTGCAGAGCATTGGTTTGATATATTTTTCGGAAGTATTACGAGCACGGAAGAAATGCTTTTTCTGTCTGATGACTGGTGTACATTTAGCTACACACACTACTATTTGTATGGGTACTTCTCAAAGTGTTTATCAGTGGACAAGAACATAGATAATTCCAAAATACCAAATTTAAGTCATAATGGAATTTTTGATTGCGTTCTTATTATAGATAAAGAAAATAACACGACAAGTATTGATATAAACTCCTATAGATATTACTTACCTTTTCCAGGCCCTCTACGCCAGCCGCAATCTGTCTTACGAATAAAAGTTTATACGGCAAACTTATTTACTATTTCACTTTCAGATAAAAGAAAGTACCTCTATAAATTTTCAATTCTTAACAGATGCATTGTGTCAAAAATAGTGACATACCTATCAAATTCTGTAGAACTAATAATCCCTCTAGCAATATCATCATTGTTTATAATTTATAATTTTTTCCCCAAATGAATACATATTAATTATTTTTTGCGTTGTAATTTTTCGCTTTAAGATGACATTAATCTAAGAATTTGCTGTGTAAAACGTGAGTCAACATTCAACTTACGTATTGGTTGTATTTGATGACAAAAGATTATTGTATAGATCTAACACTGAATGTTTGTCAAAGACTTGCTTTATTTATGAAATTGTTCATGCTCATGCAAAGAGCTGGTCACGTTACTGATTTTAGAAATATGTCAACCAATGTTTGTGTACTGTTTTAAAGATTTAAAAAAAACTAAATAAAAGATGAAAATGATTGACCAGAATTTTCTTGAAATCAGTATTACCTACAGAATAGAAATTTTAAGTTTTAGTTTGTGTTTTAAGGTTGTGATTGAAAGTGTCAGATCCTAAAATCTATAGAAAGAACACAAGAAACTTTTCCTTCATCAATATGTTTTAGCCATCTACAGAAATAAAAGTACTTTCACATGAGTGGCGGGGTCTAGAACCAGACTGACAATCTATTATTCAGGAATTTTCCGACAGATACTAAAATATTGAATAAAATGTCTCTCTAAAATTTTACTGACACAGGGTGAAATGGTTATAGACCAATAGCTTTTAATAAAACATTCATATCTTGATTAAAGAAAAATGAAACTACACTTGCTTTTTTTTTAATCATTTGCAAATTGACATAAAGATACAGAAAAATTTAAAATAAATGGAAGATCTTCAAATACACTGTTTAAGGAAATATTTTAAAGTTACACCATCCAGACCTGTTGCTTTAGAATAGTAGTTAAAGTGTCAGGGAAATGTTTTCCTAATTCGAGACCAATGTTACAAAATAATTATTCAATCTTTCGACAATATTTTTTAACCTTTAAGAATTATGTTAATATCTTAAGGAAATGTACAAACGCTAGTTTTCTTATATTAAAAAAAAATTAAAATGAATGAAAAATATTTAGCATAAATTAAATATTACACGCACGTGCCACTTGATGGCCATCACCCTTTATTTAAACATACTGTAACCTTTTACTGTTGCAAAGTTTCTATAAAAGACCGCTTTTTACTGCATTACAGTTGCGATATAGTCATATCCTACCCAAATAAATGCGTTTTTCGGAAAAAAAAGTAAGTTTAAATCTTCCTTTTCATCTCAAAATAGAAATTACTCGTCAAAAATTGTTCAAGTAAGTTTTTTCTAACTACATCCTTCCTTAAAGAACTATTCTTCTTCTTGTAAAAACTGATAAAATATGTTCCATTCCCCTGTTTATTCTGTCATATTAATGAAGTACTTTATCACGTGACCAACCCGTATATGTATAGCCCGAAAGATGTTTTAAAATGATACCCTATTGCTTTAATATACATTAAACATGCATTCTGATGGGTCAATTAATGATTGCCATGAAGTCTACATTTGCTGAAATAAGTCTGAAGATGGAGATACATCTATAACTCATGATTTATCATCGATCTTCAAAGATATCCAGAATTCAGTTCACATCTTTTCTTTATATTATTGTTACTAGGTTAATGGCTTTTCTTCGTTCGGACGTTCATTGACTTCTTTCTGAATAATGCATGAAAAAGATCACGATTTTCCAAAGCATTCAAGTAATGTACAAAATAATGTTAACGGAGCTTTTACGCATCAGTTGCAATAACTCTCTTTGAGCTAATATTTTCAATATCACTTAAGGTTGTACTGAACAATTAAAATAGTCACGTGATAAATGTCTCAGGATTCTCAAAGTAATGTACATTTGACCACGGAAATTCTTCATCATTAAAATTATTCATATTATACACGGATAAATCAAGAATCTTCAACAAAATTTGAGGAATTGCAACAACACATACACTGTACTAAGTGAACATTGATATACAATTATATTTTAGAGTCAGATATCTATTGGACTGGTACACAGTCATTTGATTTTAAGATAAGAAAAGTCAGTCTACTACAGTAGAAATACGTATATGGATGAACTTTAAATTTTGCTGTTTATGTCTATACCATAATAAGATAAAAATAATTTCAAAAATAAGATACATTCTTTCTAAAAGTTTCTTAAAAATAGGAAATTAATGACTGCAGGAAAAAATTCTTAACCATGTATGCATGTTATATAAATTTTCTCTACAATGGTTGCAACCATTAAGCCTGCTTAACAAACAAACGGACAATTTAATAAAAGAAAGCAAAAATCATAGGCCCATGGGCCTTATAGGCCACCTTAGTAGCATGCAACAACTTTCCAACAATTGAATTTGGTTCGTGATCTAAACTTAAGGCCCTGATATTCACAATTGTGAAAGAGGCACAATTGCTTATGATAACTATACACTTAGCATGCCTACTTTGATTACTTAATACCCAGAGACAGGTCAGACGAACAAAGAAAAAATTATTTCCACTACATAATCATAAATAGTTGATTAATACCAAAGAACAGTTTTCAAAGCATCAAGTCATTTTCAGTGTATGATCATTTGAATCCCACCACCACCACAACAGTACCCCTGACCCAGGGGCCATGAAATTCATCATATAGAAAGAGGCATCCTTCCCTATCATGACTATGCACATGGTTCATTGGTTTAATACCCAGCAGCAAAAGAGTTTTTTTTTCAGAAAAAATACATTTCCACTATATATTCAACAGAGTCCCACACTAGCATCAGAACCTCTGACCCTGCATGGGTCCATGATTTTCACAATTTAGCTAGAGGGTCCAATTCTTATTACAGTCATGGCAACTGTTTGACTGCTTGTTGTCTAGGGGTAAAGATGAAGATTTTTAAAGATTGCAATATTTTCAGTAATGTTGTCCTCATCCCTCAAGCCCCAGATGGGACAGGGATCACGAAATTCATGCTTATTGTTCTCTTTTAATTGGTTGAGCAGTTTCAGAGGAGAAGTTAAAAATGTTTAAATGTTATCACACTTCGCGCGACGGATGACGCACGACGACGGACAAAAACAAAAAGCAATACGTCAGGTGAGCTGAAAAGGCAATATAATTTTAAGATTTCATCTGTTTTTCTGTAGTAATTAACAGAAAAATTCTCCTACGAAGGCACGTTTACATTTGCATAATTTCAGATTTTATGTTTTAGATATATTTCTGTCATAAACGAAAAACAATATTTTTTCTTTCGTGAGCATATGCATTGTATGTATATCACAATGTAATTTATAAATCTTACCAGACAGAGTGCAGAAATTTAAGGGGAAAATTTATACGAAAAGAATATTTATCACAGTAGATTTTATAATTTTCAGGAGATTAATTGTGATGCTTAGAACAATTTTTTTTATCTTCAGGTCCTCAGTGTCACATGAGGTAAATCTACTGCTCAACAAGTAAAATCAAATAGGTTCTTGTTTAGCACAAACAACTGTGATGAAGTTTTTTTAATCTCTGACTTGATCCAGGGCTTCATATTTGGCCTATGCTGGCCACAAGCTCTTTGCAGTTGGGACATTTTTGAAGTTGCTTTGGGATGCATTTTTCAGACACCAGACATCCGCATGGTTTTATCTTGAGCTTGACAACATCTTCTTTATACATTTGACATTTCGGTGGTGAAATGGGAGGTACTGTTGGATTCCTGTATAAATCAAACAAATAATACTTTGATTACGTTGTTCTGTAGATTGCCTTACTTATTGATTTGATTTTCAATCAAACATTCTGATATCCTGAATTTGCCATGCTCAACAACAATTTTTTTGACAATAAGTTTAAGATCTCGACACGGTTCCCCTAAAAGCCAAGAAATTTCTGCCTGTTTATACTTTTAGTGTTTGTATAGAAGGGGGTTGTTGTTGACTCACTGATTTTTCTCTACGAGGTTCTGCTTTCTCTCACTCCTTGACTGTGATATAGCAACCTCCAGCGTCGACTTCTCCTCATTACTCAAAGCCGCGATCTTCAGTTTCTCCTTCTCCAGGGAGCCGTCTGTCTGCCCAGGGTCTGCCTTCTGCATCTGTAAATATTTCATAATGTCACATAGCCCGGTGTTTGATGCCATCACTATTGGAGATTTTGAAATCATAGATATTGTCGCCTTCAATTGACCAAGAATCAACCCTGAGTTTAAAAATAAGCTGGGTTTCTCACCCACCCACCTGGCGGCCAGAGAAGGAGATACACAGTGAGTTAATCCTGAAGTGTTTTTTTTAACATTCTGATATATATTCAATGCACAGTTATTTATTCCATTCTGATATAGCTTTGAAATGATGTACACTATTTTATATTAATTACCCATAAATCTACTTATCATCTTGTTAAGCATTAGTTAAATTAATTCACTCACCGCGAAAGCTGGAGTTCTCTGTAGCATTTCTAAGATTTCTTTGGTTTTTCCTTCCTTTAAAGCCTCTGTAAACTTGTCTTTCCGGCTTGAGTCTGCAGTTTTAATTCAATGTTGAACAATTCACCGATGAATTTTAAATTTCATCTCATAGTGCTTGATATAGTTGTCACCAAATATTTACAATACATCCATATCATTAGAAAGAGTATATTACTGTAACAGCAAATGAAGCTGAACGTTTAAAAGAATTAAGGTGGTTTACCTGGTTCTTCAAATGACCGTTCATCTGAAGAGCTTCGTGATCTCCGTTCATCAGGGGAGGGAGAGCAAGACCTAGGTGGGGTGCGCTGATCGATGCATTGGTGTGTATGATCTGGGGTGCGCTGTGGTGTACGCTCTGGGGTGCATTGTTGGGTGGTGGTAGAACTTTCTCCCAGATACTGTCTTCCTGTCACAGAAATCAGGAGATCACGGGCTTCACGTTCCTCCTGAGGTGGTGGAACATCTTCACCTTTCTCTTCAGTGTCCTCTGATGGCTGTGGTGCCTCCTCCTCTTTAAATTCATCAGGACTACCACCAGATGGCGTCAGACACTCAGGGTTGAACTTAACCTGCTGGATCCCAAAGCAGACAATCACGTCTCCGTCTGAATCCACGCTCACAACTCGACCTTTCTTCCCCAGGAACTAAAATAAGATTTTTACATCATTTTTTGGCAATGACCTGTTTAAAGTTTAATCGAATTGAAAAGTTTTTCCATAAACACAGTGAACTGATACCTATATGTACCTTTTTCATGCTTTCCTGCCATGGCCTTTGTTCATTCTGAAGATGGTGTACTCTTGTTGCATCATTTTCTACCTTCACGACTTGGTCCTTCACATACTGCTCTATCTGAAATTTTACAAAAATCATTGATTTCACTGATCACTGATGTTTTACCGTCTCATGCATCACAAGTTTGTTTTTACCTTGGCTAAAGCCATTTCAGGGAGAGTCCACTCTTTGCCGCTAAAATCCAAAGTGATTTGGTGTCCATCGACAAACAGCACTGATCCATTCTCTCCAATACACTGAAAAAAAATGTGATAAAAGAAATGATTACAATAGGATTTATTCGTAAATCAGATATTTCATGAACTTAAATCTGATATTTTTTTTAATTCCAAGAAAGAAGCACGTGTTCACTGTACCTCTATGATTTTATAATTCTCTATAATTCTCTCGTCCCAGTTCTTGGACTCTTTTAGAATCGCCTGGAGAGTATCTAGATCCACCCCTATCTTGACCTTGTCCCCTTTTTTCAGCCTCCCCTCCTCCTCATAAGGGGCCTTTGAAGCTTCCTCCTCTCTAACAGCTTGGTTTGGTTCAGGTCGGGGCTGATCTGGCAATTCTGTTCCCAGATAATCAGATACATGTATCATTCAAAGAAAAAATAATCAAAGAACTGTGCCATGTACTGTTGTGTAATACATGCCCAAATACAGGGTTCGCCATCGTTTGAAATTTTACTGTGTTGCAGAGTTTATGCCAAGCACTAAAATTTCGCGGTTCTTTCGTAATCTAAATCGAAATTGAATCACTATTCATTATAATTACAAAAGAAAACGTAAACATGCATACACTTTTTTTTAACAATCACTGATTCGTTACAAAATTGTATGGTCGAACAGTGTACTTATTGTTAAAAACAAAAACACGTTCTGAAAAGGCGGACTGCAGAGGAAAATCTGGTTGATTCAGTCGAACTACTTGTTATTTTTGAAACTGAATTTGCCGTGATTTTTTGTCATTTTTTTGATCAAAAAACCGAATTACAAAAAAAACAAAAAAAAAAAAAAAAAAACTTCAGAATAGTTAAATACTTTAAAGAGTTCCTTGAAAATTTGAAACAATTTATTGACAGCAATTGAATGATATCGGTGCGATGTTACATGTATGTTTGACTTACAGTGCCAACATAATTCTAGAGCCGTTGCTCTATAGTAAAGACTTATCTAAATACCTTTTTAAAAAAAAAAATAATAATAATACAATTTATTTTTAATGCAACTACCAATTAACCGTTACATGGAAATGTGAAAACAAATTATTTGTCTTTGTTCCTTCATGGGTAAAGTTCGTCGAGGGTGTAGAAAATAATTAATTATGCAAGGTGAAGCCCTAATTAAGTGCTCTACTATTTTTTTGTAGAATTGTTTGTTTAAACTTTCAGTTACAGATAATTTATAACTTTGGATTTTCTAATTATCACAGATCTTATTGTGTCGGCAAAATTTTTACGGTGTCGCACGCATATTTGAATCGTTACTGTGTCGGAGAAAATTTTACTGTAGCGGAAGCGACACAGTAAAACAGCTCATGGAGAACCCTGCACAGACTTAAACCAACTTTCTGTTAGGTTACGTCTGCTCTTTAAGTTTTGTTGACATTATCTTTGTATCACTTATAAGGGCTTACTATAAACCGGTTGTTTTTTTTGTATATTTGTAGTATCTTGAAAAGTGAATATTAATTTTGGTCTTGATTGTCCGTCCGTAAAGTATTTATAGTCCTGTCTCTAACAGGTATTCTGTTAAAGCACACACACTTTAGCGTTTGTAAAAGTTCAAAACACAAAATATCTTTCGAGAACCCTTTGAGCTTTTGCAATGAAATTTTGTTTTGATTCATTATATGTTAAAAGACCCCTATTGATTTTGAGGTCAAAAGGTCAAAGTTCAAGGTCATAAATAAGTTCAAATTTGTGTATAAAACACTATTAACACTGATATCTTACCAACCATTTGAGCGCTTCTCTAACAGAAGACTATTTTGATTTTGAGGTCATTTTAAAGGTGTTGTTAAGGTATTAATCGATTTATATATTTTTTTTGTGTGTAAACAAAATTCAACATAAATTTAAAATTTATTGTTTATCAATAAATAATTGATTGGAAGACATCAAACACTCACTGAAGATAGGAAGATGATCCTTGTAATAAAACCTTTCATTTGAAGCTTCCACGTCCTTGACATCGACACAGCCTGTGTAACCAAGGCGATGGGCATTAACACCCATATTTTATTTTCATCTACCTTTAGAAATTAATGTGCATAACTCAGTAAATACATTGAACAGTTATTTAAAAAATGTGATCAATATGATCATTTTATCAAAAATAAACTCAGCTTTAGATAACATAATGTTTGGCTTATCTTTTTAGAGGATACACAGATAAAAGAGGATCTAACTCACTTCTTCCAACAAAAATTTAAAATAGTTACACATAACCTACCATCTTGATTTTCCCATCTCCGTCAATTCTTCGAGTCACCTTAGCATCCTCGAAAATCCCATTTCTGTCTACTGCTCAATTTTCTCTTAGGAACAGAACATCTACAACAAATATATGTAGGAACTAAATAAATCAATAAAGGAGAAGCTTTCCCTTTACAAAATTAACTTTTCTTTATCATTTAGTTTTCCATTTTATTATCAGGATTATTTAGTTTCTGTGAATAAAAAGATACTGTACATTTTAAAGGAAATGTATATACTGCAAAAGTGGCTTTGTTTGCTACATTATAATCTTTCTTTTATAGTTCTTGTGTCCACGCGCATGAAGAAATATGACTACTGATAGAAATCGTCTTACCCTTCGTGACTGGGGTAGTCAAACCGCGTGAATTTGTGTATGATGTCATGTTTGTCACTATGGTAACAGTTACTACATAGCACAACATCTGAGCACTGGTCACATTGCCACAAAATCCCGAATATTTCTGGTTCTTCACAGTCCTTTTGGTACACTGTCTGTCATTTTGATTCCTGAATCAGAATTTTCATATATTCATATTCTGGTACATAGGAGCTAGTGCCTTTGCAAAACACTGATTCATGCGCTGAGTGTAGTGTTATACAAACCCAGGGCTGATGTATCATATATCCTGAGGTCGTGCCCCTCGTATCTGTACATGTTCCTGTATCCCTTGTCCCACTGGACCTCAGCACACATTGGGGGCAAAACTCCCCTCGTATCCGATATCTACCACGGTCCCTAAGTGTCCCTCCCCTCCATCCTGGTCCCCCCAGCACCAGTTCTGTCCTCTCACCACACGAATTCCAATGTCAAATACCATACCTACAGGAAAAAGTAATATACATAAGTTTAACCGTAATTATTATCTACTGATATTTAACAAAATGGTTTAAAAAGATACAATTAAAATACATGCAATGGGTTTGCCCTTCTCCCGACCCAGGATGAAATGATTTGGTCAGTAGGTAGGTTGGGAAAATTATTTTTCTCAGAAATTTCAACATTGAAGCTTTATTTTCAATTTTTTCCAGAATATATAAAAAATTTTTGTTTTCTGGAGTTTCTTAAAAGTTTTGAGTCAGCCCATGTTTAGCCAGTCGGTAGGGAGATGGCACACACACATTTTTAAAGGTGGTTTAATGATGTAATATTTGTTTTAGTTGTATTTAAAGGATTCAATTATTGCTATATTGTGTGAATGCATGGGTGTTTAGTTTTGGTTTATCATTTTTGTTGACTATTTAGACAATAAATGTCTTTTATGTAAGTTTTTTTACGTGATGAATAAAACTAGGCTTCGGTAAATCATCACACACATTTAACTCTAGGTATATTAAAATTATCATATTTTTGTTTTCCCTACTCACTTGCCGGTAAGCATTTGTTTTGTTTGTCAAACTGTTGTAATGGTCTTTTGTTTGGGTTTTTCTTGAAATTAATGGAAAAAAAAATGATATTTTCAATTACATAAAAATTTATTGTAAAGACCTATATATGTTTATCAAACATATGGACAGATGGATCAAATTTGACTAAAGGTCTTCCGGGCCTCCAACTACCGTGGTGAATCTTGACAATTGTAAGTTTATCGGGGGGGATCAGCACGTGGTGGCGTGAGTCCTTCAGCGTGACTAGTGCGTGAATAATTTTCAGCAATTTGTGTTTCTATTTTAGGGAAATTCCAAAAACTATTATACAGTTTATTTAAAATGTTTTTCTAATTCTAAATAAGAAAGCTGATTGTTAATCTTATGTTGTCATGAACAGCTTGATTTAAAGTTTTTATATTGTAGTATACATTTAGCATTTAGGCCTAGTGCAGAGTAGTAAAATGATTTATTGAATATTACTTTTTTTTTATTTTCAACAGTACTGTACAATTTTTCTTATATATATATATTCCAAAGAATTTAAAAAAGACTAAAGCTTTAAAATCTTAATTTGAAACATCACACACATTTAACTTAGAAATTATATGAACAAATTTAATTTTAGATTGAAATTAATGATTAAAAAAAAAATAAATTAATAATACTTTAATGTAATTTAAATAAAAAACTGGATTTTTCTGGGGGGGGGGGAAGCATAGGGCTGCATTTCAAAATATAAACTGGTTTCCACAGTTAATTATTTACAAAATGCATGAAAAGCAGATCTTGTTTTTAAAATAATCTAGAATGTCAACTAAAGCTTGAATTAATTAAAACTACTTTTTTTCTTTGGTCTTAAGGGGGGACCTATGTCCGATAAATTTTTTTATTTCTTTCATGACCACTGTTAATTTTTAGGTATTAAAAACAGTTTGTATATTTTATTTTTACACAGGGAGGGGCAAAAACAGTGTGAAATGCAATTTTCAGACATCATTGTTCTACCACAAATATGCGCTAAAAAGAATCAAAAATGTCAAATCACATTAAAATCAACATGTATTTAAATTATTTGACTTGTATCTTTGAAATTTTAGTGAAGGCAAAATCATTATAATTCATCTCGATAAAAAATTAGAATGGACACAATATCCGCTTTTCTGTCGTATTTTTTGAATTCCGACATGCATAAAAGGAATATTCAATCAAAATTTTAATTCAAGTTTTTGAAAGAAATGAATTATCTCTTTATTTTAATAAAGAAAAAAGTATATGGAGGTAAAAAGTTTTCCTTTTTCTTCGTAATTATGTGTCATAATATTGACCTTCTGCACCAAGACAAGGGTATACAAACATCTGAATATAACACTGAAAACAAGTAATTCGTTTTGATTAGTAACAATTTACACTGATTTAATCTTTTCTTTTTGAAACATTCTGCCCCCCCCCCCTCCACCTTTCCTTGTCAACAACCAACTTTTAAGCTGGAATGACTTTATACAATTAAAAAATTGCTTCAATAAGCGCATTATACAAGTTTAAAAAAAAAAATTTCTTAGTTTTATCGAGAAAATACAATTAATTGTAAATATAAAATTAAATATTTCCCTGATTTAAGCTTTAAAAATTTATTTTTTGCAATATGAGCATATTATCGAGGTTTTTATTCGAACTGCAATTGCTGCTTATCAATTAAGGACGAGAAAAGTAAATGAATAAAACTGCTATTAAAAATGTATTTTTTTTTTGTAAATTGTGTTTGATTGATTTTAAACAATGGTAAGCCTATAACAGTTGTAAAATTTCTGAACATTAAAAAAAACGTCGATTGTGACGTCAATAACGCTGCTTTGAAGGTCCCCCTTAAAACACTATAAGAAATGTAATTATTTCAGGTGAGTCTGAGTTTTGATTCAATGTTGAACAATTCACCAATAAATTTTTAATTTCATTTTATACTGCTTGATATATATGTCACAAAATATTTATAATTCAGCCATGTCATTAGAAAGAGGACAAAATATACTGTGACAGCAAATGAAACTTAACATTTAAGGGGCCCTACTGGGGTTTTCTTTGCAAAATATTTCGCGCATCATAGTAAAATGAAGCGTATTTACTGTTTTAAAACAGCATTTTCCACTTAATCAATAAGATTAAACAAAATTAAGAATTTGCAAAAAATGTAATTGTAATTTTATATTACCTTTTGCACCTGAAAGGTAGGTTGATGTCGATGTAGTGTGTTTTTGATTATTAAGATAAACTGAACTCTTAAGTAAAAATTTAATAAAAACAAAGTGTTTCGAAAGGTAATAAACATACACTCTTGAAATTTTAAACCTAGAAATTAGAGAATCTCTCCATTATTTTTATTTATGTTTTCATATAAATCTTTTGTGCCCGTCATATTTTGTAGTACTCTATAAAACCTGGAAAATTCGTTAATTTTTTGCATGTGATCAAACTTATATATTTTATATAAATAAAGAGTTTCGCTATTGTGGTTTTCACACAATAAAACTCCAGTCGGCCCCTTAAAAGAATTAAGGTGGTTTACCTGGTTCTTCACATGACCGTACATCTGAAGAGCTTTGGATCTCCGTTCATCAGGGGAGGGAGAGCAAGACCTAGGTGGAGTGCACTGAGGAGTGCTCTGGGGTGTATGATCTGGGGTGCGCGGTGGAGTTCCTTTGAGGTGCATTGTTGAGTGGTGGTAGAACTTTCTCCCAGATACTGTCTTCCTGTCACAGAACTCAAGACGTCATGGATTTCACGTTCCTTCTGAGCCTGAGGTGGTGGAACATCTTCACCTTTCTCATCAGTGTCCTCTGATGGCTGTGCTGCCTCCTCCTCTTTAAATTCATCTTCATCAGGACTACCACCAGATGGCGTCAGACACTCAGGGTTGAACTTAATCTGCTGGGTCCCAAAGCAGACAATCACGTCTCCGTCTGAATCCACGCTCACAACTCGACCCTTCTTCTCCAGGAACTAAAATAAGATTTTACATCATTTTTGGCAATGACGTGTCAAGTTTGAATCGAATCAAACACTTTATCTAAAAGAAAAATGTTTAATAAACGCATTGAGCTGATACCCATACCTTTTTCATGCTTTCCTGCCATGGTCCATGTCCATCTGAAGATGCTGTACACTTGTTGCATCATTTTCTACCTTCACGACTTGGTCCTTCACATACTGCTCTATCTGAAAATCACACAAAAGTAATTGATTTCACTGATCATAATGTTTTACCGTCTCATGCATCACAAGTTTGTTTTTACCTTGGCTAAAGCCATTTCAGGAAGAGTCCACTCTTTGCCGCTAAAATCCACCGTGATTTGTTGTCCATTGATAAACAGTACTGATCAAGATCCATTCACTCCAATACACTGAAGAAAAAAAAATTGATATAAGAAATGATTACCATAAGATTTATTCGTAATTCGTAATTATTAAATTTCCATGAGAGAAGCACTGTGTTTACTGTATACCTCTATGATTCTCTCGTCCCAGTTCTTGGACTCTTTCAGAATCACCTGGAGGGTATCTAGATCCACCCCTATCGTGACCTTGTCCCCTTTTTTCAGCCTCCCCTCCTCCTCTTTATAAGGGGCTTCTGAAGCTCCCTCCTCTCTAGCCTCCTGGTTTGGTGACGGTCGGGACTGATGTGTCAATTCTGTTCCCAGAATATCATATGCACGTATCAATCAAAGAAAAAAATAATTGAAGAACTGTGTTACGGACTGTAAGTTACACGCCCAAATATTTAACCAACTTTTTTTAAGTTTCATGTGAATGTTCTTTTGTTGACATTATCTTTGTAGTACTTATTAGTGCTTACGATAACTTGGTTTCCACGAAATTCAACGAAGAATACATGACTGAAAGAATATACATGTAGTTGGCCACTTCACACATAATCATAAATGTATTCATCGAAGTTATCACAACACGCTTATCAATTGACCACGTGTTTATGTAGTATCTATGAAGAGTTGGTCTGATTGGTTAAAGTATTTATAGAATACCTGTTCTACAGGTATTCTGTTAAAGCACACACGCTTTAGCGTATGTAAAAGTTAAATGCCATTTGAAATATCTTTCTCAGTGCAGTCAGACGTTTTCCCCGCCAACCCACCCTCACAAGTATCATCTTTGTTTTGATTCATTATATGTTTTTGTTTTGTAGATTGTGTGAGTTGGCAAGAAGAAAAGTTGGAAATGTTCATTTTGTGTATAATATTAAACTGCACTTACGAGAGCGCTTCTCTATCTATCACAAATGTGTTGTTATTTATTTTATCGATTTTATATATTTTTTTTGAGTGGAAACGAATAACAACATAAATTGATAAAATTTAATTGTTTTCAGTAAATGATTGGAAGACATCAAACACTCACTGAAGATAGGAAGATGATCCTTGTAATAAAACCTTTCATTTGAAGCTTCCACATCCTTGACATCGACACAGCCTGTGTAACCAAGGCGATGGGCATTAACACGTACCATACCCTTATTTCCATCTTCACCTTTAGAAATCAATGTGCATCACTCAGTGAAATACATTGAACAGATATTTCAAAAATGTGATCAATATGATCATCTTTATCAAAAATAAACTCAGCTTTAGATACCATAATGTTTGGCTTATCTTTTTTAGAGGATACACAGATAAAAGAGGATCTAACTCACTTCTTCCAACAAAAATTTAAAATAGTTACACATAACCTACCATCTTGATTTTCCCATCTCCGGTCAATTCTTCGAGTCACCTTAGCATCCTCGAAAATCCCATACAGTTTCTGTCTACTGCTCAATTTTCTCTTAGGAACAGAACATCTACAACAAATATATGTATTTGAACTTATGAACTTCTCCTCTATAAAGGAGAAGCTTTCCCTTTACAAAATTAACTTTTCTTTATCATTTAGCAAAATTTTCCAATTTATTATCAGGATTATTTAGTTTCTGTGAAAAACTAAAGATACTATACATTTTAAAGGAAATGTATATAGATAGCTGCAAAAGGAGATGGCTTTGTTTGCTACATTATAATCTTTCTTTTATAGTTCTTGTGTCCACGCGCATGAAGAAATATGACTACTGATAGAAATCGTCTTACCCTTCGTGACTGGGGTAGTCAAACCGCGTGAATTTGTGTATGATGTCATGTTTGTCACTATGGTAACAGTTACTACATAGCACAACATCTGAGCACTGGTCACATTGCCACAACATCCCGAATATTTCTGGTTCTTCACAGTCCGGGTTGGTACACTGTCTGTCATGCTTGATTCCTGAATCAGAATTTTCATATATTCATATTCTGGTACATAGGAGTTAGTGCCTTTGCAAAACACTGATTCATGCGCTGAAGTGTAGTGTTATACAAACCCAGGGCTGATGTATCGAATATCCTGAGGTCGTACTGCCCCTCGTACCCCACTCTGTACATGTTCCTGTATCCCTTGTCCCACTGGACCTCAGCACACATTGGGGGCACCTTCCCAGAACTCCCCTCGAGTCCGATATCTACCACGGTCCCTAAGTGTCCCTCCCCTCCATCCTGGTCCCCCCAGCACCAGTTCTGTCCTCTCACCACACGAATTCCAATGTCAAATACCATACCTACAGGAAAAAGTAATATAAATAAGTTTAACCGTAATTATTATCTACTGATATTTAACAAAATGGTTTAAAAAGATACAATTAAATAATGCTGGTTTGCCCTTTCCCGACCTAGGATGGAATAATTTGGTCAGTAGGTAGGTGGGAAAATTATTTTTCTCAGAAATTTCAACATTGAAGCTTTATTTTCAATTTTTTCCCAGAATACATAAAAAAATATTGTTTTCTGGAGTTTCTTAAAAGTGTTGAGTCAGCCCATGTTTAGCCAGTCGGTAGGGAGATGGCGACCAAACACATATTTAAAGGTGGTTTAATGATGTATTATATTTGTTTTAGTTGTAAAAGCCTTTAATATTTGTTCATTTAGATTTCTAATTTGAAACATCACACACATTTAACTTAGAAATTATATGAACAAAATTTAATTTTAGATTGAAATTAATGATTTAAAAAAAAATAAATTCAAATATAAAAAATAAAAGCATATATACTTTACATGGATGCTTTTAATAAAAAACTGGATTTTTCTTGGGGGGGGGGGGAGATAGGGTTGCATTTCAAAATACAGACTGCATTTCCAGAGAGTAGTAATTATTTACAAAATAGCTTGAGAAGAAGATGGTGTTTTTAAAATAATCTAGAATCTAAGGACTAAAGCTTGAATTCTTAAAATTATTTTTTTCTTTGGTCTTAAAACTCTATAAGAAATGTAATGCTTATTTCAGGCCCGAGTCTGTAGTTTTGATTCAATGTTGAACAATTCACCAATAAATTTTAAATTTCATTTTATACTGCTTGATATATTTGTCACCAAATATTTACAATTCAGCCATGTCATTAGAAAGAGGACAAAATATACTGTGACAGCAAATGAAACTTAACATTTAAGGGGCCCGACTGGGGTGTTCTTTGCGAAATATTTCGCGCATCATAGTAAAATGAAGCGTATTTACTGTTTTAAAACAGCATTTTCCACTTAATCAATAAAATTAAACAAAATTAAGAATTTACATGTTTAGAGATGTAATTGCAATTTTATTTTACTGATTTTTAAAACGATTTTGCACCTGAAAGGTAGGTTGATGTCGATGTAGTGTGCTTTTGATTATTAAGATAAACTGAAGCTCGTAAGTAAAGGGGTAATAAAAATGTGTTTCGAAAAGGTAATAAACATACGCTCTTGAAATTCAAAACCTAGAAATTAGAGAATCTCTCCATTATTTTTATCTATGTTTTCATATGAATCTTTTGTGCCCGTCATATTTTGTAGTACTCTATAAAACCTGGAAAATTCGTTAAATTTTTGCATGCACCCTGAAGTTTATCAAACTTATATATCTTATATAAATGAAGAGTTTCGATATTGTGGTTTTCACACAATAAAACTCCAGTCGCCCCTTAAAAGAATTAAGGTGGTTTACCTGGTTCTTCACATGACCGTTCATCTGAAGAGCTTCGAGATCTCCGTTCCTCAGGGGAGGGAGAGCAAGACCTAGGTGGAGTGCACTGAAGAGTGCTCTGGGGTGTATGATCTGGGGTGCGCGGTGGTGTACGCTCTGAGGTGCATTGTTGAGTGGTGGTAGAACTTTCTCCCAGATACTGTCTTCCTGTCACAGAAATCAAGACGTCATGGATTTCACGTTCCTTCTGAGCCTGAGGTGGTGGAACATCTTCACCTTTCTCATCAGTGTCCTCTGATGGCTGTGCTGCCTCCTCCTCTTTAAATTCATCAGGACTACCACCAGATGGCGTCAGACACTCAGGGTTGAACTTAATCTGCTGGGTCCCAAAGCAGACAATCACGTCTCCGTCTGAATCCACGCTCACAACTCGACCCTTCTTCCCCAGGAACTAAAATAAGATTTTACATCATTTTTGGCAATGACGTGTCAAGTTTGAATCGAATCAAACACTTTATCTAAAAGAAAAATGTTTAATAAACGCATTGAGCTGATACCCATACCTTTTTCATGCTTTCCTGCCAAGGTCCATGTCCACTCTGAAGATGCTGTACACTTGTTGCATCATTTTCTACCTTCACGACTTGGTCCTTCACATACTGCTCTATCTGAAAATCACACAAAAGTAATTGATTTCACTGATCACTAATGTTTTACCGTCTCATGCATCACAAGTTTGTTTTTACCTTGGCTAAAGCCATTTCAGGAAGAGTCCACTCTTTGCCGCTAAAGTCCACCGTGATTTGTTGTCCATTGATAAGCAGTACTGATCCATTCACTCCAATACACTGAAGAAAAAAATTTGATATAAGAAATAATTACCATAAGATTTATTCGTAATTCGTAATTATTAAATTTCCATGAGAGAAGCACTGTGTTTACTGTATACCTCTATGATTCTCTCGTCCCAGTTCTTGGACTCTTTCAGAATCACCTGGAGGGTATCTAGATCCACCCCTATCGTGACCTTGTCCCCTTTTTTCAGCCTCCCCTCCTCCTCTTTATAAGGGGCTTCTGAAGCTCCCTCCTCTCTAGCCTCCTGGTTTGGTGACGGTCGGGACTGATGTGTCAATTCTGTTCCCAGATATATGCACGTATCAATCAAAGAAAAAAATAATTGAAGAACTGTGTTACGGACTGTAAGTTACACGCCCAAATATTTAACCAACTTTTTTTAAGTTTCATGTGAATGTTCTTTTGTTGACATTATCTTTGTAGTACTTATTAGTGCTTACGATAACTTGGTTTCCACGAAATTCAACGAAGAATACATGACTGAAAGAATATACATGTAGTTGGCCACTTCACACATAATCATAAATGTATTCATCGAAGTTATCACAACACGCTTATCAATTGACCACGTGTTTATGTAGTGTCTATGAAGAGTGTTGGTCTGATTGGTTAAAGTATTTATAGAATACCTGTTCTACAGGTATTCTGTTAAAGCACGCACGCTTTAGCGTATGTAAAAGTTAAATGCCATTTGAAATATCTTTCTCAGTGCAGTCAGACGTTTCCCCGCCAACTCACCCTCACAAGTATCATCTTTGTTTTGATTCATTATATGTTTTTGTTTTGTAGATTGTGTGAGTTGGCAAGAAGAAAAGTTGGAAATGTTCATTTTGTGTATAATATTAAACTGCACTTACGAGAGCGCTTCTCTATCTATCACAAATGTGTTGTTATTTATTTTATAAATTATTTATATTTTTTTTCGAGTGGAAACGAATAACAACATAAATTGATAAAATTTAATTGTTTTCAGTAAATGATTGGAAGACATCAAACACTCACTGAAGATAGGAAGATGATCCTTGTAATAAAACCTTTCATTTAAAGCTTCAACATCCTTGACATCGACACAGCCTGTGTAACCAAGGCGATGGGCATTAACACGTACCATACCCTTATTTCCATCTCCACCTTTAGAAATCAATGTGCATCACTCAGTGAAATACATTGAACAGTTATTTCAAAAATGTGATCATTATGATCATCCTTATCAAATATAAACTTTGCTTTACATACCATAATGTTTGGCTTATCTTTTTTTTTTAGAGAATACACAGATAAAAGAGGATCTAACTCTCTTCTTCCAACAGTTACACATAACGTACCATCTTGATTTTCCCATCTCCGGTCAATTCTTCGAGTCACCTTAGCATCCTCAAAAATCCCATATAGTTTCTGTCTGCTGCTCAATTGTCTCTTAGGAACAGAACATCTACAACAAATATATGTATTTGAACTTATGAACTTATCCTCTATAAAGGAGAAGCTTTCCCTTTACAAAATTAACTTTTCTTTATCATTTAGCAAAATTTTCCAATTTATTATCAGGATTATTTAGTTCTGTGAAAAACTATAGATACTATACATTTTAAAGGAAATGTATATAGATAGCTGCAAAAGGAGATGGCTTTGTTTGCTACATTATAATCTTTCTTTTATAGTTCTGTGTCCACGCGCATGATGAAATATGACTACTGATAGAAATAGTCTTACCCTTCGTGACTGGGGTAGTCAAACCGCGTGAAATTGTGTATGATGTCATGTTTGTCACTATGGTAACAGTTACTACATAGCACAACATCTGAGCACTGGTCACATTGCCACAACATCCCGAATATTTCCGGTTCTTCACAGCCTGGGTTCGTACACTGTCTGTCATGTTTGAATCCTAAATCAGAATTTTCATATATTTATATTCTGGTACTTAGGAGGGCATTTGCAAAACACTGATTCATGCGCTGGTATGTAGTGTTATACAAACCGAGGGCTGATGTATCGTAGATCCTGAGGTCGTACTGCCCCTCATACCCCACTCTGTACATATTCGTGTACCCTTTGTCCCATTTGACCCGAGCACACTTTGGGGGCACCTTCCCAGAACTCCCCTCGTGTCCGATTTCTAACACGGTCCCTAAGTGTCCCTCCCCTCCATCCTGGTTCCCCCATGACCAGTTCTGTCCTCTCACCACACGAATTCCAATGTCATACACCATACCTATTATAATACACAATCCAATGTTAAATACCATACCTACAGGGAAAAGTAAGTCGACAGGGAGAAGGCAACCAAACAAATTTTTCAAGAAGGCCTAATGATGCATGATTATGTACGTTATAAAACAAACTTTAGAATTTATTCTTTTAGATTTCTTATTTGAAACATCACAAACATTTAACGTAGAAATAAATAAAATGAACAAAAGTTAATTTAGATAGAAATTGATATTTTCAATTTTTTTTAAAATATCAAAACATATACTTCAATACATGGTAGTTTTCAGGATGTTTTTTTTTCTTAACTTCATGTCAAACAAACAAAATGTAATAAAAACTATGATACAATGTATAATATTATGGTTGCCACTGAATGAAGAAAAAATATTTCCTGATTCTTATATGTAAAAAATAAATAACATAAATATCAAAATGAAAGTTATGTTTATTTTATTTTCATATCACTTAATTTAATTTGATGTGCTTTAAAAGAACCTAATTTGTAACCATGTTTAGACATGATCGTCTGACTTTTAAAGAGATCTAATTTTAAAAGATTTCTTCCCATGTGAAATAAAGTTTCCTAAAATACAATATTCTGCAAAACTACATTGTATATGACTGATATATTCACAAAATGATGTTACAGATTACAGATACAATTTACCTATTACATAATTGAATTGGTTTCTTTAAAACAAAAGTCAACTAAAACTGTGCATTAATTAACTTAGAATGAAAAGGAGAACCTACCAAAAAGAAAAAAAAATACTTTTGATTAATCAAAATGAAAGGGAAAATTTATACAATATAACTGGAAATAATTTTTTGTTATGAAAACAAATCCTGTTTGTTAAATTTTTTCAAAGATTCAATTAAAAATGTGCATTTATCAATTTAAAATCTAAAGGAGAACCTACCCAAAAGAAGAAGACATTTGAGTAATCAAATTGAAAGTGGAAATTTATACAACATAACAGGAAATTTTTTATTCTACGAAAATTCCTGTTGGTTGAATTTCCAAAAATAGACTGCATTTTCCAGGGAATAGTAACATGAGTAATTATTTACAAAAAATCTTGAGAAGCAGATGAAGTTAAAAAAAAATCTAGAATCTAAGGACTGAAGCTCGAATAAAAATTAAAATGTTTTTTTTTTGGTCTTAAAACTCTATAAGAAATACAATGCTAATTTTAGCTGATAATGTTCCCGATTTATAAATAAGGCTCTTAAAAAAGGTTACATAATTTAACTCTAACATCTTTGACTTGGTTTTCTTCCTCTTTCCTCTTTCAGAGTTTTTGCCACTTTTTTTAAATTTTAGATTTGCTAGTTTGATTGGAAAGAGGAAGTACATGCCAACGAAAGTAAAGTACATCATCATTTCTTTCAATGGAATTTTACGAGGAAAAAATATAACAAGATAGAAAATAATTTTAGGCAAAAAATACTTAAATTCTAAGTGTAAATTTATACAAATTAATTTTTTTTTACTACATTAAGAGTAATGGAATTTTATGAGCAAAAGAGCAAAAAAAATAACAATGCAGAAAAAAAATTATTTACCACATTAAGAGTAATGAAATTTTATGAACAAAAAAAAAAAAAAAAAAAAAAAAACAACAAAAAACAAACAAACAAACAAATAAAACAAAACAAAACAAAACAAAAACAAAACAATTGAATACAGAAAATAATTTTAGGCAAAAAATACTTAAACTCTATGAATAAATTAATATAAATCTGGGTGGGGGTCAACAAATTTGTTATTTACTACATTTGTTTTGTTATGCTGCTGCAGTACTGAGTGTACAGTTCCACAAGCTCCAGCATCCAAAGAAAAACAAAGTCATATATTCTATTCAGCTACTTACCAAATCACATCAAATTTATGTTTAAACTTTTGAAAATCAAAAATATTCATTTGCCAAAAGATATTAATTAATTGATATTCTACTAGTATCTGGCCATGCATGTTTATCAGAAAAAAAATGAAAATATTTTTATTTTTGATTATTCTCAAAATTCAAACCGTTAATATGTCATTTTTTCTTTAATTTTTTTTAATCATTCTATAAAATGTTTTTAAAAAGTAAGATTTAAAAAGATGATGAAGGCTAAATTTAAAAAAATTATATAGGCTTAAAATAAATAAAATCGATCTCAAGTTAGTGTAAAACAAAATTAAAAAGAACAGATTTAATTTTTTGGTAACAGCTAGACAACTTGAGCCCTGTATAAAAAATATAATTTCCTTTCTATGAAGGCATTTGCATGTAAATATCTATATTGAATCTGATTTGATTTTAGTTAACAGCTAGTCAACATGCTTTATGCTGTGCTATGTGTGGCCGATGGCAGCATCGAAAACATGGCACCGGTAAGTTTCTGTTACAATGATTATATTCAAGTAATCTGAAATTTAAAAATAAATTTCAACGTATCAAGTCGCCAAAGCATAATGATTCATGTATCATTACAAACAATGTCTATTTGGAATAATGTAGGGGGCTGTCATATCAGTGTACTAATTATGAAGTACTTAGGTGTGTCACAGGAGGTGTACTGGGAGACGAGGAGAGGGAGAGGACTTGGCCGTTGGACTTGCTAGAACTGTGTGGACTTCTGGACTAGGGTTCATGATTTGAACATACTTCTACACAACCCGAAGATGCTTCCATATGAATATGTATTTGACCATGCAATCATTGCTTTACTATTCTTGCAGTGTTTTAATGATGTTTCCTACATATTCCTTTGTAAATTTTTGGTCGTCCGAAGTTGCCCAACCCTATCACCGGGGGTCATGATTTGAATATCTGACAAATAAATGATCAAGTCGTAATGGTGTAGACCATATATCAATTATGAAAGGTATACACCATAAAAATGTTTAATAAAACACGCTAAAAATGAAAAATGATTATAATTCGTCATTAACAAATTGATCATATTGGTGTTTAACTGTCGTCTACTTCAAGGAAAAAAACAATAATATGCTCTTTGCTCGAAAAGTTTCTGAAGCAAAGCAAGTTATTGAAAAACAAGACCACTGCGCTAAACGGAGCATCCTCTTGCAACAGGAAGTTCATCAGTAATGGCAATGTCTCCGTACGAGAGAAAAATTCTCAAGAGGGAGTATTTTTAAAAGTGGTAATTCTTATAAATATCCATCGACTTTGCTTCCAAATCGTTTAATTACATGAAAACTTTACAGAGCCTAGATATCGAATATCTGAAACACAATCACCCTTCCTGTTCATGTTCAACTATAGTTCTGCTGGACATGTTTGTAAGGCGCAGTATTGTATTTTACAGGAACTTGGATTTAATTCTACTTGCGGTAATGCAACTCAGACCTATAGCTTCCTGTCTAAAGAGAAAATTCATCAAAATCATATGCCATTTTTTGAATATTTTTCATATTCTAAATACCAGAATGAATTCAAATGTTGAATTTGAATTAACATATCTATAAACATGTATATACCGACGATTATTGGATTCCAATACTTCATCAAAATCCAAAATAAAGATACTTGATGGGTTGCAGTAAATGTTCTACCTATCTACTTCTTTTCCCCTCACTAGAATATTAACAGTGGTGAATGAAAAACTTCAGGAGTATTGTGCAACAATATACATGTGTAAAGCAGATGTTTATACTGAAAACATGAAGGAAATTTTGAAAAATTTGGAATCACAAGATTTTACCAAAATCAACAGCATCAACAGCTTAAAACTTATGACTTTTCAACTTTAAATACAGCCATTTTCCACGATAAATTAAAGTCCAGGCTTTTTTCTTTTATTACTGACAGCTTCTTTATAATAAAACTGCTCTTTAGTTAATCTTTATCTTGTCAATGGTCATTTGCAAAATTATTTTTTTTAACATAACATTCTAAATTGTACATATAAGTACACTGAAGTTGATGTTAAAAGGATGCCTGAGTTTCTGATTGACAATATATCTGTATGCTTAAATTCTATTGGAATTTCCATTGGAATCAATTGTTCCCCGTTATCAGCAGATCTATTTTTGTATTCATATTAAGGATAATTTGTCCCATATCTTATACGTGAAAAGAAGAAAACACTTGTTGAGGCCTTCAACTCGACATTTCGATATACCGATGACGTATTGTCAGTTAATGATGATTGTTTTCATTCTAATGTCTATATAAAATTAAATATACCGGTGAGCTTGTGATAAAAGGTACCAATCTTGACACAAGTGAGTCATTTTCAGATATTTTACTTGAAAATATGTTCCTGGTTATCTTACTTCCAAGCTTTTTGATAAGCGTGATGACTTTAACTTTGCAATCATCACTTTCCTTAAGGTCAAGATCTAGTAGGTATTCGGCCAAGACAGGTGGACATTTTTTCCAAGAGTAAAACCGAGTGGTAAAATAGGCTAAAATAGGCTAAAATCTAAAGAGTAAGCAGAGTGCGTGAAACATGATTGAGATTGGAATCTGGAGGATCCGAATTGGACAGTTCTCGTTCCGAGGTATGCGGACAAACATCACAACACGTAAAACATCAGAGGGTAAACCCACGTCCGCCATTTTGAATACTCGTTTCGGATTGGTGATCGCTATAGTCTTCATCATAGCTCTTCAACTGTGCGGGGATGTTGAGACGAATCCAGGACCTGGACCTGGAAATGAGGATGAAAGTAGACTCACGAGACAAACGCAAAAAAGGCTAACTTTCGAAAGCCGAGGGGAATCGGAAGTTCTTAAAGCCATTGGAGAACTAGGTAAAGACTTAAGAGGGGACATTCGTTCTATCAATATAAAACTAGAGTCTCTAGAGAAAAAGATAAGCTATTATGAAACAACAGTAGAAAACCTGACAATGCAAAACAAAGACCTAGAAGATAAGGTGCTACTGCTGGAAAAGAAATTAAAATCAAATGAAGACCAGAAGAGAAAATATAACGTTATCTACCATGGAATTGAAGAAGATACCAAACCACAAGAAGCCCACGAGAAGGTCCACATACTCCTCGAGGAACTACAGCTTGATAATATCAAGACAGATCAGGTATACAGACTCGGTAAACCATATATAGATCAGAATTCGCAAAAACCTCGCCCAATCTTGATCAAGCTCACAAGTATACTAGACAAGGAAACAATAATCAACAAATGCAGAGAAATACCGTATGAAAAGCGTCCAAAGCTATCAGAAGACTTTCCTCCTGAACTAAGAGATACAAGGAAAAAACTAATACCATACCTTATAGAAGCAAAGAATAATGGTAAAAAGGCTTCGCTTATTAAAGACAAGCTGCGTATAAATAGCAAGATGTATTCCATCGAAGATTTAGAGGATCTGGAGTTTAGTGCTCACAAATAGGGATTCGGCCGCCCACTGTCAACTCAACATTTTGTAAATAATGTGAATGTAAATACTTGCATGACAATTGATGCTACAAATAATGATGAAATTGTTGATGTAAATGTTGATGTAAATGTACAACCCATGATGAATATTAATGTTGTCTCATGGAATATAGAAAGCTTAGCAAGCAAATTACGCTCTAACAGAAGCGAGATATATTCCTTGATGCAGCATTATGATATCATTGGTTTCATCGAATCATTTCAAACAAGAGATAATGAATTTGATAATGAATTTGATAGTAATGAGTGGACAATATTTTCAGCCATGCGTACTGTCTGTAGTAAACCAGCAGGGGGTGTAACAGCTCTAGTTAAGAGATCATTGGTGTTGCAACACAGTGTGACAAAAATATTTGGTGCTGATGATAGACTGTATTTGTGTTTTAAGAATATATTTAGTGATAAAGAGCACCCCAATTTATTTATGGGTTTTATTTATCTACCCCCACAAGGATCTATATACTATAGCTCTACAGATAGCGAATCTGGAGTAGATCTTTTAGCTGAAGATATGTTTAAAATAAAAAACGATACAAGATACAGCAACTGTAGATTATTGCTGGCTGGAGACTTCAATGCAAGAACAGGTGTTAGTTTAGATTATGTGATTGATGATTCAGTTAAGTACATTCCTGTGTTAGAAGACTGTGAGGATGAACTGTATAATTCAGATAAATTTTCTAAAAAGCGTAAGAATCAAGACAAAGAGGTAAATCATTTTGGTAAACAATTACTTGAATTGTGTGCAGTAGAGGGTATACATTTTGTAAATGGTAGGACCAATAGTGATTTATCAGGAAACTTTACATTTGTTTCTAACAGAGGGTGTAGCACAATTGATTACTGTATAGCTGATTCTGCTTTGTTCGAATATATTAGTGACTTTAAAGTGTTAGATGTAGATATTTCCCTCCATTTACCCATACTTTGTACATTAAGTGTAGTCAAAGATAGCACGGAGGTCATGGAGGTTGATATACAACTAGAGCATTTATCTAAATTCAAGTGGGATATGAACAAATCTGTTGAATATTTACAAAATATCTGTAGTACAGATGTGGTATTAGAAATCAATGGTATAATTGAGTTAGATGACTTAAGTACAGAGGAAACTGTCTGTAAATTGAGGGGTGTCTTGGAGAGGTGTGGTAGGCACATGGAAGTAAAAGAAAAAGTCACTGAGAAAAATACAGAAAAAACTAACCAAAAGTGGTTCGACAAAGAGTGTGATCTACTTAAGAAAAAAAAGTGTGAACTTCTTAATAAATATAGAACAACACGCGCACCAGAACAGTTAGATGAATACCTTGAATACAAGAAACGATTTAAGGACCTATGTGTAAAAAAAGAAAAAGACTACAGAGAACTTATGAAAAACATATTGTGTGAAGCAACCAAAGATTCTACCGAGTTCTGGAAAACTATAAAACTGCTGAAGTCAAGCCAATCAATAGTAAAAAGACAATCAGTTATTTCCCCTAGAAAGTGGGCGGAATACTTCAGCAACTTATTCCATAAGGAAGAAGCTGATACCACAATAGATGACTTTACCGAACATGTCAACAACAGACTAAAACGACACGAGGAAAGTTGTGATTTATGTTCTTGTAACACTGATGAGATTCTTAATGCAGAAATTTCAGAAGAAGAAATTCAGGAAGTGATCAAGGGATTACGAAATAACAAAAGTCCAGGACAAGATGGAATACCAAATGAATTTTACAAATATTCCAACAAGAACGTGAGAGACCTCCTATGGAAACTTTTCAACCAAGTTTTCAACTCAGGTCAGTTTCCAGAATCTTGGAATAAAAGTGTGATTATTCCTCTTTTCAAAAAAGGAGACAGAGAAGACCCCAATAACTACAGGGGAATCTCACTACTTGATTCCAGTAGTAAAATATTCACATCAGTTCTAAATAAAAGACTAAACTTATGGTCAGAGACCTTGGGACTTATCCCTGAGGAACAAGCTGGATTCCGTCAAGGATATTCTACAATTGATAATATCTTTACACTACAATCGATAGTGCAGAAATACCTAACAAAAAAACGTGGGAAAGTGTATTGTGCTTTTATTGACTTCTCAAAAGCATTCGACTCTATCGACCGTAAAAAATTATTTTACTGCCTTATCAATAAAGGTGTACATGGAAAGATGATTACAACATTGCAGTCGATTTACCAGCGAGTATTGAGCTGCGTTAAGATTGGAAACAAAATCACTGAATACTTTACATGTAATGTCGGTGTTCGTCAAGGTTGCATATTAAGCCCATGGCTATTTTCAATGTACATAAATGAATTCATTGAGATGTTACGTGATTCGCAGTGTCAAGGGATATACATTACAGACCAAATATTGGACATAATTGCCCTCCTGTTTGCGGACGATCTTCTTATGATATCAGATACAGTTAACGGTCTTCAGAGAAAACTAAATATACTTGAAAAGTTTTGCTCAAAATGGAACTTAACAGTAAATATGGACAAATCAAAAGTAGTGGTTTTCAAGAGAGGCGGAGCAGTTGCAGGTGCAGAAAAATGGATGTTTAATGGACAACCTATGGAAGTGGAATCTTACTACAAGTATCTTGGTATCACATTCTCTTGTAGGCTGAAATGGTCCCAATGCTGCAAGTCGCTAGCACTACAGGCACGAAAAGCGTTAAATATATTGAAGCACACCTTGAAAAATTTGAATAATCGTGAACCTAGTGTGTGTTTCAAACTCTTTGACAGTATTATTGTTCCGATCCTAACATACGGGGCAGAAGTCTGGGGAACAGATGTCATTGAAGAGATTGAAGCTGTACAGAACGACTTCTGCAAGTGGATATTGGGAATAAACAGAAGAGCTACTAATATAATGGCAAGAGGAGAATGTGGAAGACTTCCATTGTGTGTGACGTACATGATGAAACCAGTGAAATACTGGTTAAAACTACAAGAAATGGAAACTTCGAGATATCCAAGGCAGTGTTTTCAGATGCTTTGCAATTTGGATTCGTGCAGTAATCGTTTAACACCAAACTGGGTTTCTAAATTGAAATCAGTTTTAAATCATTACGGCTTCGGGGATGTCTGGCTAAGTGGTGGACCTGGATATCCAAAGGCCTTTCTCTCGGAATTAAAACAAAGGATGCGAGATTGCGCCCTACAAAACTGGAATACACAATTAACAGACTCACCAAAATGTGCGTTCTATACTATGTTTAAAAAACAGCTTGCATGTGAGAGCTACCTCTCCTCTCTAAGCTACCCCCTAAAACAGGTATTAGCTTCTTTTAGGTGTTCCTTACACAAACTACGTATTGAAGAGGGTAGATTTGAAGGCATTGACTGTGTAGATAGACTTTGTCAACTATGTAACCTGAGACAAATTGAAAATGAATTACACTTTCTTTTTTATTGTCCGATGTTGGGAGATTTGAGAAGAAATTTTTTGTCTCAATATTGTCCATCACAAACAAAAGATGTATCAGTTTGTATTGATCAGCTTTTTAATAGCAAAGACAAAAATGTTCTCAAAAGTACAGCTGTTTTCATAAAGAAAGGTTTGTCCATGAGACAAGAAATGTTAACCTTATGATCTCAAATGAACTTTGGTAACACAACTTAGTATAATTCTTTTTTTCTCTTTGTTTTTGTTTTCTTCCTGCGATGCACTTTGTATTAAATGTTTATTTCACATATGTACATGATGCCTATATATGTACAGTGGGCAAAGGCCTGTAAGTACCAAATAAACATCTTATCTTATCTTATCTTAAGATCTAGTAAATGGAAGGTGCCTACAGATTTTTCAAATTTGAGAAATAAATTCCTTTGATGATGCTTTATAACATTAGCTTGGTCAAAATAGGTGTTTCGGGGCATAATTTGTAGGGAAAAAAAAGATGAAAAACCATATTTTAAACTGTCATTTTCAATGAAAAATTAAGAAAACCAGTATTGAAAATGGTAGTTTTTTCCATATCAGACAAAGAAAATGTATCCAGATTGCCTACAGTTTTTCAGAAAACGGTTATTTGTATGTTCTAAGTCTCTATTCTAAAATAATGTCAAATTTAAGATAGGTATCGGGACTACTTTTCATGTGATTTTGAATTGAATTCCATGAAAATACTTTATTTTCTACATAAATCTATTAGAGCAGTAAAGTATGGGAAAAAGAAAGCTGAAAGTGATTATGACGTCATAATGGATTTAGCACTGAAAAGTTAATTCTAAAGTGATTTACTAGATCTTGACCTTAATTACGCAGCAAAATAACTTCATCGCCTGCATACAGGATTCATATCTGCCAGTTGATTCGATACGCATTAGCAAGCCCTATATGTGTGAACAATTTCTAACCGAGGTAAATTACTGACAGACAAATTGCTAAAACAAGAATATTTAATAGAAGTCTCGTTTAAAGCCATCATTTTGTCAGTTCTTTGGTCCTTACCATGGTCTTGTCACTATGCATACAAAGTATATACACAAATGTGGTATCATGACAAGGTGCACACGGCGGGTGTGACCAGTCGGCAGTGGATTCTCACTCCCCCATGGCACCTGATCCGACCTCTGATGTTTTTTTTAGGTCCGTGTTTGTTCTGCTCCTGTTTTGTAATGTTTTATGGACTTTGATATTGAATACTGTTCTTTATCTCCATATCCTTCATGAAAGCACTAGTGTCCTAATGTAAAAATTCCTATTTTGTATTAATTCATTTTTATGCCCCCGTAATCGAAGATTTAGTGAAATCTTTATATAAAACCATACTTCTTTGTGTTCTTGCATTAATGTTTAATTTGCAAATTATATTATTATAATGCAAATATAATTTATACAAATATTTTTTTCCGCAAATCAATGTTAAACAAACCTTGTTTTTAATATAGCAAAGAAGCCGTGTTCAAAAAGGTAACCTATAAAATAAAAGTATGTCCTTTGAAGAAATAAAAGCTAAGAGTAATTTCCCAAATAAATCCATGATACAATAAATAAAACATTATTCATGTCTGTATATAAACAATGATAAGTAACACAAAATAATCAAAGAAAGTCAATACTGGAGTCTTGAGTATATCATTGATAACGCTGATTATATCAGAAGGTAACTTTGGTCCATTGACAAACCAGTCACTAGCCATGGCCCGTCCTTTGGGTACGTAAAACGAATTTTCTCCTTCTTGTATATTGATATAATTTACGGAAAAATGTTATTGCTAATAAATAAATCTCTCCTTTTATTTTAAGGTGCAATTTCTAAATTAATACAAATTTTAAATGTTTTAATTGTTTTCAGGGGACCCACCTCTTTACTTCCTTTTAAAGTCTTGTCAATACACGATGGTTGATATCACCAGGTATTGTTTATTTTCTACTGATCCTTTTCAGGTCTGGACTTTTTATGTGTGCTTCTGTTTGTGACGTCGGAGTCGTCTGCTGCTAAACAGTACACCATTACAGAGAGTGGCGGATCACTGCAGGTGGTGATTAACGGAATCACGGTGAGAAAATGAGTTTTAAAAAAAAATCAATGTATGTTTTGTATTTCAGAAGCAGATTTTAAATATTATTGGCAATCTGGGATGATTTCCATACAATTCTAAAATACGTAATTATTAACTATAATTTGCTAAATTAAAGTATACATGTATATAGGAACACCTCAGAGGTTTGTTTTAATATTTCATACTATGAGACTTTGGCTTTTGAGACCCCTTTTCATACGTAAAGATATGCTCATCATTAAACAAAATAGTCCAGAGTTACTGGGAAACAATCACTCAGAGATAAGTAAAATTAAAGAAATTGAGAAATGTTGAACAAATCCTCTGACTAAGCGGTTTATTCCCACTTAGCCAAAATTCTGAAATTCCTATTCCCACCTAGCCAAAATTGTTATTTTCACACCTGAGTGGTCACCTGTGTATAGTCTGTTTTAGACTGATTAGGCCTACCTGTAATTTTCACCGGAGATGTATACATTTACCTATTTACTTATAAATATATGAACAAAAATTTAAATAAATATAATAAAATAAATAAGTAAATATTAAATAAATTATATATTTATATAAATAATAAATAAAAAATAAATAAAAAAAATATAAATAAATAAAAAATAAAAATATAAATAAATAAATAAATCAAAAAAATAATTCAATAAATGAATAAAAAAGTTTTTAAAAAAAAAATAGATATTAAATAAAAATGGTGAAGAAAGAAATTAAAAAAGAAAAAAAGGAATTAGTTATACATTAATAAAAAAAAAAAAGTTAATGAATAGATAAAAATCTATATAGAAATATTTAAGAAATAGTTAATTTAGCAATTCCTCTATCATAGATTATATTTTGTATATTTTGTATAAAGTTTTTACAGAAAAAAATTGTTGATAATTATCAAACCAGAGATAAATAAACAAAATGCAGTTAGTGATTAAATAAACAAAAGTGCCCTGTGATGTTTTGCCTAAGTTGGTATCTACTTAATATTTGATGTAATTAATGTATCCAGAAAGGAAATAATTGACATTAATTCCGTTTGAAATCCTAGGATTAAAGCAATTATCATTCATTAAATGCTCTCTTTTTTTCTAATTCTAATGAAGAAAAAAAAACAAAACAGATACTATACATCACTTTATTAAGTACGGCGAACGTGCAAGTACAGGTGGATTTCCTGGAGAATGGCAGGGGAGGTTTCTTCTTAGAATAAAAAAAAATTAAAAAAACAAAATTAGAATTGAAAAAATATTTTTTTAAAAATTTAAAAAAAAAATGTCATCAAGAATTACAAAAAGACAATTTAATTAATTTTAACAAGAAACAAATATAATAAATAAAGAATTTAAAATAATTCATAGCACTGGGCATTCTAAAACAGACTATAGGTCACTTGTAATTAATTTCTTTTGTTCTCTCCCTGCCCTTACCTGTACACCATTCCCACTTAGCCAAAACCAGTCACCTGTATCAATTTGAGAATTTTGGCTAAGTGGGAAGACACCGACTAGGTTTCCGACTAAGCACTTAACAGCATCTGTTCTGAAGAGCAAAACAAACAAACGTGGACGGCCAATTTAAGTCAATCGGACTTAAATATAGGTAAACTTGTAATTGTGAATTTTATCTCAAGGTTAAGGAAATCTGATTTATCATATATCATCTGCTGTGAATAAATAGGTGTAGTGATAATATTATTATAGTCTATTGATTTTTAACTTGTAAAAGAAAATTTAAATTGGATATTGACTCATATATTAAAAAAATAACTTCATTACTTTTTTCAAGGTTTTTCCGGTCCTGTTAAATAAAAGAAGAAAAAAAACCCATTAAAAAAACAGTTTAATTTTATATCGTCTTACATTAACAATTCCCTGGTTAAAGAATTGTGAATTGTAGATTAATTTTGTAATGTAAGAGATCAAAGTTTTATTGGTTTTTACATATAAAATATCTCTCAACTTTCAAAATTCTCTTTTCCAGGTTTTAAATCATACGTTGCTGTCTCCTTCATTTTACGTTGGACAAGGAAAAACTATATTTTTGGAAGCACTGGGAAATTTTCATGTTAGAAACTACATAAAGGAAAGGATAGCTTTAAGACGCTTCGCCAAAATAGAAAACACTACCACCTCCGACGTCTACAACTTCACAGATGGAGGAATTTATTCTGTAAAAATAATCATAACATCTTATTTAAGAATTGATTGTGCTTCTTAAATATGATGATATATATATATACATATGTCTACATTATGCCCTTCTGGATCCTTACCATTGTGGCAAAAGTATTACATGTGTATCATTTCAAAGAAAAGTATAGTTCACCCAAACTTCTGATTTTATTGTATTTTTGTTGTGATAAACCCTATATGGTTTAACATTCAGGTTCAAGTAACGTTTGAGACCAAGCTTAACCAGGATGCGGTTGTATCGTTCAAAAACACTGGTCAGAATTACACTCACAGCTGGGTCGTACTAGCTGCCTCTCCGACGGACAAGATTTACGGAGGAGGGGAGCAGTTTACTCACCTTAATCTCAGGGAGAGGACCTACAACTCCTTAGAACTGTTCACTGTTCTCAGAGCAGACGACCAGACATACCCAATATGGACAAGAGAACAAGGTAAATTTATTTGATCAAGTGGCTTTTCAAACGTTACCTGACCACAATTGGACTTTTATTTTTATGAAGAATTTGAATGAACATGTATTTGAAATAGATGATTTTAAGACAAAAACGTGATGAATCTTGCCTTCTTCCTTATTATGGAAAAATAAGCGAAAGCCATAAATACGTATTCATTGGAAATTTTAGGGAAATATGCACATTTCCTTTCTCTTTACGTATGCTCTTTAGACTGATATTACATAAAATAAAATTAATTTTGGCTGAATCAATTTAATGTCGGTGTTATTTTTGTCATCTATAATTTGGGAGTTTATGAGATAGCTATAAGATGATTAACTAAATCTTCTATCTCAATCAACAAACATTAATGTGTACTTAACTTTAACAAGTTCGTGTTAACATGTTCTCGGTTTACGGTTCATACACTGAACTAAATCATATTTAAGATAACCCACTTTCCAATCAATACATGTGTCAGAATGAACTTATTAGTATATATGTTTTAGCTATGTAGAGTGATAGGTCAAACGATGCACCAGTTTTACATGTTGAATTTTTGACAGATGTATATTTCAAACATTAAACTTTTATCAATTTTGCGCCAGAAATAAAATTAATCGTCATCTTTTTACGGAAAATAATTTTTTTAATGCCCAAAACAATAAACAACATTTTCGTTATTTCATCCTGTTTTATATCGTCAGGTGTAGGGCGAGACAAAAGCACCAACACCACCTTCTTTGCTGACCTTCAGTCCGGCGGTGGAGGGAACTTTGCCACCACTTACTTTCCTCAGCCCACCTTTATTACCTCCCGAAAGTATTACTTCCACTTCACGTCCACCAGATACATGGTGTTTGACTTCAGTGTCCCAACATCTCACGAAGTCTTCATCAATGGAGATTTTGGAGACATTTACTTCAAATCGTCATCCTCTTTTAAACCTTTGGTTGGAAGTCTTTCCTCAGTGTTTGGTCGGATGCCTAAATTACCTACTTGGATATATGATGGAATTATCATGGGTGTACAAGGAGGCACAAAAACTGTAAGTTTCTATATGACTTAAACAAAACGACTTTTCTCTTACTCTACAGCTTTATTTTTTGTCTTCAGGGCATTTCAAAACTATAAATCAAATATAACTATAAGTCAGCGATATTAGGATATTAGGAATATACCTTTTTGACATACAGATGATGGAAAGGTACCAACAAGCAAAGGCTCAAGGGGTGAAGGTTCGTGGATTGTGGATTCAAGATTGGTCAGGTATTATCAAAACATCGTTCGGTCAAAGAGTTTTCTGGAACTGGAAATGGAATGCGACAAGATATCCAGGTACATATATATTCAAAACACTGCATAAAGACCACAATCGTATTTAATTGAAAAGAAATCATACTGGGTCTCTCCTTAATTTGTTGCTAAATGGCTCTTCGTTGCATATTTAATAATCGAAGTACAAATCTCAATATATCTCAAATGCTTTTAAGCGAGACGTGTACATTTAAATACATGAAAATTACAGGTTTGGATGAAACGATCAAAGAGCTGAAAAAAGACGGTGTGCGTATAACAGTTTACGTGAATCCAAATCTTAACAACCAAGGTCCGCTTTTCAAGGAAGCTGAGAGCAAAAGCTACCTTGTAAAGAACAAGACGGATCATACTTATTTGTTTAATTTTGGAGAATTTTTCTGTGGGATTGTGGATTTGACAAACCCTGACGCATACACCTGGTATAAAGGTAAGTGATATGTATCTACTGTACATCACTAAATTTTCGCGACACTTTATTTTCGCGAGATAGTCATTGCCTCTTTATGAGCGAGACAAAATTTTCACGAATTGTGGTGATTGCTTTATATAATCCATAGGAATACTAATATACGCGAGAATCATATTTTCGGAAGCACATTGTCTCGCGTAATTACGCGAAAATAAAGTTCCCGCGAATAAAAAGTGATTTACAGTATAAATCACAATTTAACTTGATAAAAAAATGTTATACTATCTCTTTAAACGGAATGGGGATTGTTTTCCTTCTTATATAAATATTTACTTTTTTGCAATTTTTAGTTTAATAAATAAATGATTCTTATAATTGTAAATTTTGACGATAAATATATTTTTCAAATGAGCAAAAACAGGTATGATATCACACAAAAAGACTTTGTTTAATAGATTTTTCTTTATTGTCATATCAACTACTGTGTGTGCATGATAAAGTAGATTTCCGTTTGACTGACTTTTTTAGGCGTTATCAAGAAAAACATAATAGAGCTCGGTATAGGCGGCTGGATGGCCGACTTTGGCGAATACCTTCCTGTTGATGCGAAACTGAAGGGAGGTTCAGGTGAAATATTCCACAACCAGTGGCCTGTCCTTTGGGCCAAATTAAACCGTGAAGCTGTCCAGGAATCTGGAAAAGAAGGAGAAGTAGTGTTCTGGATGAGAGCTGGACACACTGGTAAATGCAAATATAGATTCATAAAGACATAACTATCGTCCGAATAGTGCAGTGCCTTCTGCAATAATTTTCAGTATTTTGGCTGATATAGCAACACCACCTTCGCTCCATCTCTTATGTTTTTGAAGGTCAATGCTTACTTTGTTCTCATTTTGTATTGTGGACTTCTGAGCTTCATTTCTGTTCGTTATCTCCATTTGTCATAAAGCTTTCTATACATACTAAATCTTTTTAAAATTATCTAGGTACTTCTAACTACACTACTCTGATGTGGGTTGGAGACCAGAATGTTGACTGGAGTACAGGAGACGGCCTTCCCTCTGTTATTCCCTCGGCTCTGTCCTCTGGGTTATGTGGCATTGGTATGACCCATATGGACATTGGTCTGTACACCACCTTCGGGGCGTTGGGATTGAGGCGATCTGCGGAGCTGCTTCTGAGGTCTGCAGAAATGGCCGTCTTCTCGCCTGTGATGAGGACACACGAAGGTTCACTATTCCTACTTTGAATACTAGTTTTTTTTTAGTTTTAGAACCTTTTGCAGACAATTATAGGTCTATTATTGTATGTGATATATTATCGTTTAATTGATTGGAATTTAATGCCGATTCCATCATATACGAATCGTATACAATAGATAAAAGAAAATGATAAAAGTACCATTTCTATTTTTGTGATGCATCATTAGCAAAGCTAATTTTAATTTGAAAAAATAACGAATTTTAATTGTCAGGCAACCAGCCAAAGTACAACGTCCAGATGTATAGTTCAGACATAATTCTCCGCCTGTTTAAACGTCTTGTTGACATGCACAATGCCCTTTCCAACTACACATCTGCCTCAATGGATGAGTACGTCAGTTCCGGTGTAGCCGTCCAAAGACCATTATTTCTCATGTATCCAAATGATGTGAAAACATACGATCTTAAATATCAATATATGTTCGGTCCAGACATCTTAGTGGCTCCAGTGATTCAACCTAATGTTCAAAAACAAAGTGTCTATCTTCCAAACGATAAATGGATTTATTTGTGGAATAAAACTGACGTGAATCCAGGGACATTAACTGTGAATGCTCCCGTTGGATTACCTCCCGTATTTGTTCGTAAGAACAGTTCCTTCCTAAATGATATTCTGTCTCTAGCATCCTATAAACTTATTCCTTTCGATCCGCCCAAAACTAATCCGTCACAGGTTTCCAATGACTCTCCGCTCACAAACTTCTTGTCATCTGTAACATTGGTCGCATTTTGTACTTGTGTTGCATTAAGAAGTGTTCACGTGTAAATTAAGTTATGTTACGAAGTTTCGTATGCTTAGGATATTTGATTTGTCAAGAAGGTGGAAACAGGAGTAAAGATCCACACGGTGAATACTTTTTGGAGGGAACTGATTAAAACAGATCTGCAACCGTTCCTTTAACATCCTATAAGTAAATCATCAATGGAAAGAGGAAATCATTAGTATGATTAGTATCCTATTGTAATGAAACAATAGCATATTTAAACAGTAAAAATCCTTGTCAAACTGCAGCTTTCATAAAGTACTAGTAATGCATAATTTTCTGTAGCTTCACGCTGTACTTTAATTTTTTTTAATAAAAATGTGTGAGTATAAAGCACATTGAGAGGCATATAATGAAAATTGTTGCATGAAAAGATTTAATTTTTCAAGCTTCATTTAAAGACTTTTTGAATTAAATTATAAATTAAAGAGTTGTCCTTCCTGGCTGAGGGTCGGAGTCCCTTGATAGTCCTCCTGACTCTGATATTGTAATAATGGAACATTTCGCTTATTTATACAACCATTTTGGTTTAAAAGATAATTCGGTCCGATCGATATGCTTCGTTCAGATGTCAACTGCGAGAATACTTGATAGAGGAGAAAGGGATTTTTTGAAATCTTCCCTATTTGCAATTGAGGTAAGAATTTGGAAGAATTAATCAAGAATTGAGCGCACTTTTTGTGCGCAATAAATATACAGTTTTTTCAATGGGTGGCACTGTAGCTCTCCGGTCTATCAGTATATTTCTTCGGAGAGCTACAAATCTGCAGCTACGCACAACTGTGCACGACAAAGTCGGGTTTATAACAAGAGGCCCACGGGCCTTATAGGTCACTTGAGGATCATGTAACAACTTTTGACAATTGAATTTATTTCGTGTTTTAAACCAGAGGCCATGAAATTCATAATTTTGAAAAAGGCACTATTGCTTATCATAATTATACACTTACCATGCTTACTCTAGTTATTTAATACCCAGACGTAGATCAGAGTAACAAAACAAGAAAATACACTTTCACTTTATAACCAGTTATGCACCTCTCCCCAAAGAAACCACTAACCCTGGGGCCATTTATTTCAAAATTTTGGAAATTTTATCATAAATTTTATTTCATCATAAATGGTTGATTTATACCAAAAAGCAGATTTCAAAGCATTAATTTATTTTCAGACTATGTAACCCCACCCCCTCTATACCCCTGACCCAGGGGGTATGAAATTAATGGTTTTGCTAGATGCACCTTCTTTCATCAAAAAAAAAATATATATACTTAGATCATTGGCATAATTTAATACCCTGCAGCAAAGGAAAAGATTTTCAAAGAATAAATGTATTTTCACTACATAATCAAAAGTCCCCCCACCCTAAAGCAAATGGCAAAACCCCTGACTCAGGGGACATAAAAATTCACAAATTTGGTTGAGGTGCCTTTCTTGCTCATCATTACTATGTACTTTACGTTGTTTATTTAATACCCTGAAGCAGAGAAAATGATTTTTAAAGAATAAATGCATTTTCACGATATAACCAATAGAGCCCAGCCTTAACCCCTGACCCTGGGGCCATAAAATTCACAATTTTGAAAGAAGCACTCTTGCTCATCATAACAATTTACTTAGTTACTTTATTTAATACCCAGGAACAGAGAAGATTTTCAAAGAATTAATGCATTTTCACTGTATAATCAATAGAGCCCCGCCAAAACACCAGAACTCCTGACCCTGGGGCCTTAAAATTCACAATTTTGAAAGAGGCACTCTTGCTCATCATAACAATGTACTTAGTTAGTTTATTTAATACACAAGAGCAGAGAAAAAGATTTTCAAAGAATTAATGCATTTTCACTATATCAATAGAGCCCCGCCCTAACCCAGAAACCCTGACCCTGGGGCCATGAAATTCACAATTTTGGAAGAGGCACCATTCCTCATCATATTGTTTATCAGCTTAATACTCAGGGGCTTTTCAAGGAATTAATGCATTTTCACTATATCAATAGAGCCCCGCCCTAACACCAGAACCCCTGACCCTGGGGCCATGAAATTCACAATTTTGGAAGAGGCACTCTTGCTCATCATAACAATGTACTTAGTTAGTTTATTCAATGCCCAGGAGCGGAAAAGAAGATTTTCAAAGAATTAATGCCTTTTCACTATATAATCAATAGAGTCCCGCCCTAGCACCAGAACCCCTGACCCAGGGGCCAAGAAATTCCTAATTTTGGAAGAGGCACTCTTGCTCATTATAACAATGTACTTAGTTAGTTTATTTAATATCCAGGAGCAGAGAAGAAGATTTTCAAAGAATTAATGCCTTTTCACTATATCAATTGAGCCCCGTCCTAACACCAGAACCCCTGACCCTGGGGCCATGAAATTCACAATTTTGGAAGAGACACTCTTGCTCATCATAACAATGTACTTAGTTAGTTTATTTAATATCCAGGAGCAGAGAAGAAGATTTTCAAAGAATTAATGCATTTTCACTATATCAATAGAGCCCCGCCCTAACACCAGAACCCCTGACCCTGGGGCCATGAAATTCACAATTTTGGAAGAGGCACTCTTGCTCATCATAACAATGTACTTAGTTTATTCAATGCCCAGGAGCAGAAAAGAAGATTTTCAAAGAATTAATGCATTTTCACTCTATAATCAACAGAGCCCCGTCCTAACACCAGAACCCCTGACCCTGGGGCCATAAAATTCACAAATCTGAAAGGGGCTCTCTTCCTCATCATTACTATGTTCTTAGATTGTTAGTTTGATACCCAGGAGCAGAGAAGAAGAATTTCAAAGAATTAATGCATTTTCACTATATAATCAATAGAGCCCCGCCCTAACACCGGAACCCCTGATCCTGGGGCCATAAAATTCACAAATTCTGTAAGAGGCACTCTTGCTCATCATAACTATGTTCTTAGATTGTTAATTTGATACCCAGGAGCAGAGAGGAAGATTTTCAAAGAATTAATGCATTTTCACTATATAATCAATAGAGCCCCGCCCTAGCACTAGAACCCCTGACCCTGGGGCCATGAATTTCACAATTTTGGTAGAGGACTCAATGCTGATTACAATCATACCAACAGTTTGTCTGCTTGATGTCCAGGAGTAAAGAAGAAGATTTTTAAAGATTGCACTAATTTTAGTGGTTTTGGTCCCACCCCCGAGGCCCCAGTGGAACAGGGACCATGAAATTCACAATTTTTGTTTCCCTTCACCCATAGATGCTGTATCCTAAAATTGGTTGAAATTGGTTCAGTGGTTTCAGAGAAGAAGCTGAAAATGTTCAAATATTAACACACGACGCACGACACACGACGCACGACGACGGACGAAAACGGATAGCAATAGGTCACCTGAGTTTACTCAGGTGACCTAAAAATTTAAAAACCAAGTTCAGAATAAATTTAAATTATTTGATTTTGAGATTGAAATTTACGAGAGAAAAAATCATATCAAATTAACATATCTCATTGAAACCAAACTCTTTATTTTTTCAATTACATAAATGAGACGAACTTTTTAAATGGACTTAGATATGTTTAATTTTTTATGTCGCCCACATGGTGCAGTGGTTGGACCGTCTGTCCTATAGAGTCACCAAGTAAGGAGTCGAACTTTTTAAATGGACTTAGATATGTTTAATTTTTTATGTCGCCCACATGGTGCAGTGGTTGGATCGTCTGTCCTATATAGAGTCACCAAGTAAGGATTCGAATCCTACTGTGGGAGATGGAGACTGTATAAACAGAGGTCCCGTGTTCATTCACACGAACCAGTCCGACCAATTCTTAAGCTGACTTACATATGAATGATTTTTGAAAACTATGGTACAAGTCATTTACCCCATATCATACTGTTGATTATCGGGTATCTGCACATAACCAAGCGTATGATATGGTGTAACTACTACATATACAACCGTTCCCCATGACAAATTAAAGTCCAGATTATTTTTATATCATTGATAGCTCCTTTAAAAAAATGGACTTTATAATACATATAGACGAGAATAGGTGTAAATCAGGTGTGGATATTAAAAAATTTTAAGGAAATTTTGGAAAATTTGAAATCACAAAATTTTACCAAAATGAACAGCTTAATATACAACCATTTACCACGATAAATTAAAGTCCGGGCTGTTAAGTATATTATTGACAGATGCTTTTTAGATAAAAATGCTCGTTAGTTAAGTTACCTTAAGCTTGTCATTGGTCTTTTGCAAAATAATTCTGTTAAAAACATTCTGCATGATTTTACACACAATTACTCTAAAGTCGATATTTTAAAAAGGTGCTTGAGTTTCTGATTGACAATATCTATAGATGTGGTTTTTGGAGACCAAGTCTTCCATCAATCGATTGGAATCCATACTGCGCCCAGTTATTAGCAAGCCTATACTGTATTAATGAATAAAAATCTGTCCAAAATCTTAAACGTGAAAAGAAGAAAACACTTGTGGTCGCCCTCAACTCGACATTGAGATATACCTTCATCACCTGCATCTTAACCTTAAAGTCATCATTTCGTAAGTTCTTTGGTCGATGCAATGACCTCGTCAACAAAAACAATCTATCATTAAGTCAAATCTGACTGACTTTTTTCATACTGATTGTTAGGCCATTATTTACACACTGAGTGGTCGACGGATGATTTTTCCGTTATTTCCCCATCATGACAAGGAGCACACGGCGGGTGTGACCGGTCGGCAGGGGATGCTCACTCCTCCATGGCACCTGATCCCACCTCTGATGTTTAGGGTGTCCGTGTTTGCTCTGCTCCTATTTTGTAATGTTACATGCTTTTTTTTTTAGCTGGAATACTGTTCGTTAATATCTCCACATATTTCATTCTCCCCTATTTTCAGAATTTACAAAATTGAGGCATTCCCTGCATTGAATACTTAGCAAAAACATATTTTTTAAAATAACATGCCGATATACATTGCTTGAATTATTGCACTAGCTTCAATATGTAATCTTTCCCCCATGCTTTTGCGGAATAACTTGAGTTCTACTAATGATATGACATACATGTAAGCATCGGAAGCATACTGAAAGGGGAGGGTGGGGGGGGGGGGGGGAGGCTTAACTGACCAAAATATGCAAGACCCTATTTTCAATGCCTAGATTATGTTTATCTTTGCATCCCCTCCTTATCCCACCCACTTGCAGACCGGACGCCTTTGCTTGCTTCTCTCAAATGCCTAAAGGACCTACTGATTGCGAGGCCAAATCCATATTTGCCTGAAATAATTTTTTAATTATATACATGTACCTTTCATTGAGAAACGAAATCCAAGGTGATAATTGAGTTAAAGAATGTAAAAACGAAGGAGCTGCCACTCTGTGAATAGAACACCCGATGAAAAAAAAATAAAAGGACAAAATCATATATTGGTATGAAAAGGTTTACATTTACTTCAGTGTAAGTCATTGTCACAAACTTGTATGATGTAACAAATTAATCTTTATATGTGTTATTAAAAAAAAAAGAGGGAAAAAACTGCCTAAATACCATGGTAAGGTAATAACCACGGTAAGCTTATATGCTTGTTGGATGCGGTTTATGCTTCAGGTATTGTCCATACATCTTGGGTAACTATTTCAAATGTACAGTATAGAGCTTTTTATAACCAATAAATTTTAAGTCAAAAAGTCACAACTTTGTAATTTTTATTCAATGCTTGTACTTAAATATGCTTTAACACCTTATATACATAAAAAGTAGGTTTTGACCAAAGTGGTGCTTTAATTTTGTATGAAAAAAACACATCAAAAAAGGAGAGATGGTTTCAGATGCTGGAAGAAAAAATGCAAGTGTTTCAGAACAAGCCTTTTTTATCTGAGAATTTATTTTTACTGCATCTTCTTTGGTCAAGTATGTATTTATATTTTCATATCTATTACTCATTTAGTCCTTTATAATGACCACATACCCTGGATATAAATTTTACATTGAATGCTATCTTTGGTTGATAAATTTTTGTAATATTGATATGAGGTAGCTTTATACATACACTTGAGAATAATATATACTTTGACAAGATGCATACTACTTGTCTTGGTAATAAGTATTACAAGAATATTTTTTTTACAAATCAACTGTTAAACTCTACAATTAAAATATACTTTCATATTGTTTAAAACACTAAAATAAGGTCTACTCACATTAATTATCAAAAAATCAGTTCTGTTTACTATTAAACAAGTTTCATTCATAAAAGATTTTGCTGGTTGTGAACAATCTGGTTTTCATTTTTCTCATTCAAAAAACTTCATAGCAAGCACTGAATTATGCTTTATTAAGAATATCACATAAGCCTTCCAGAAAACAGCAATTTTTGTTTAAAAAAGAAGACAAATCAGAAGGCTTCTCGAAAAAATGTTCGTCTTCTTTCGAAACTCCCTATTGTCACCAGGGATGACTAGATTACATGGTGAAAGCTTGCAAGCTGCTAAACTCATTTCCAATACAATACTGTGAAATCACAAATTTTCATGGGGGTTTAATTTTCGTTGTTTTCATGGTATGAAGAGACCCACGAATTCATGTCCACCACGAAATGTAAAATTTTACATACATAACTACTCAACAATTCTTCATCCACGAATTCAAATCTGAACGAACCAAGGGTTTTTATTTAAACCACGGAAATCTGACCTCAAAAAATATGTGATTTTACAGTATGAAGATTACTCATCACAGCTAGTTACTCAGAAAGAGTCAAAAAGAGTCAAAAAGAGTCATAAAACTGTACCTTACATTAGCCTATATAAATTACATTGTATCTGACAAATTACCAGCAGAATTTTGTGATTATTACAGTAATCATACACTGTAAATGAGTTTAGAGTCACATACTTTCATTTCAATGTCAAAAAAAATGAAGGCATAAAGTAGAAAAAAAATTCTCAATTTCCGACAAAAATTGTTGATAATTACGAAGGAATCAGTTTAAAGAAATGAAACAATACTAAAGAACACATTTAAAGATAAAGTAAAATACATTATTGGAAACAAAAAGATGGAACTTCTTTCATCCTCAGAAAGGCAGTGTGAAAATCAAAATTAATACATTGTCAATAAAAAAAATTGTCAGGTATATCCAAAAATGAAAAAAAGGAAGAAAATCTTAAAATATTAAATAAATTTTCAAACTCATGATGTACTGTTTACATTATAAAAGCTAAACTTTTCCAAAAAGAAAATGCAAAAAGAAACATTCCCAGAAAGTAATATATGAAAAAATTAGTTAATCTTGTAAAAATTAAAAAAAAAATCTGCTGAGTGGAATTAATTACGGTAAGTCTAACAGTTATGAATTTACTTCAATCTGATTAAAATCAGATCTTCTAATAAAATTTGTATCTCTTAGCAATTTCCCATGAGAAAAAAGCTCATTTGCTGAGAGAAAAACTTTCAAAAACAAATCATATTTATTACAGCTCACAATTTCACAATAACCATAATAACCTCTATAATACATGCAAAAATAATTTCACTGTAAGCATGAATCCACTATGAGCATGTTCAGTATAAACATGGTTTACTATTTATTAATTTTTTTAAATTCAATTCTCTCTCTCCATTTGTCTTGATAGCAGAAAAGGCTACAGAGAGTGCAACATCTTTAACCCTCTCTCTCTTTTGAAGAGCAACACTTGGTGTTAATTAAAAATCAATAAAAAAAATGATCACACAGCGATAGGCTTATATAAAATTGCATACTGATTTTGTTTCACATGAATCAGATTTTACATACTGCTTCGGATCCAATGGTTGCATGATCACCAAGGGTCGTTTTTTTTTCCCAGTCAACAGGTAAAAGATTATGTAGAAAAACATGATCATAAAAATATACATGTAAAAGAACTGCACCATACTGTTAATCTATGCATTCACACATTGTATAGTCTATCCCATCAGTCTCTTACTCCAATCCTATACTATTAAGGCATATATCTGCCAGATAAGCTCATGATAGACTTGAAAATCCATTTACCCATTTTTCTTGAAAATGTCATCAACAAAATCCATAAAAAATGAAAAAGTTAAGTTTCTCTAATCATTTCCCCCCAAAAAACAATGAAAAGAAAAAAATCATCACAACCCATAGTAACTCACTAAATCTCCTTATCTGGCAGTAAAATTCAAAAAATGGAGAAAAAAAATAAAATACAGAAAAGGAAAACAAGGGAAGTTTTTAAGCTTGTACATATATACATGCTAAATATGGATAAATATGGTTTTGTTTCTGGTACTTTCAAGATCAATAAACCATAAAATGAAATAAAACAACTTGTTATGAAAACACATTGAATGCAAAGATAAAGGCACCATTGTAAAATTCAAAAGTAGCACAACATCAATAGCTTAAGGTTCAATCTCTATCTAGTTAGCAAATATAAAAAAAACTATATCCTTCCTTTGTCACATCAGTGGATGCAAGATTTTTATCCAAGTTCTACAAAGATATAGAAAAAAGTTTGCTATTGCCTCTTTAGAAAAGCTACAAAAGTGCACTATTCAAGAGTTAAACCTAGGTGTATTTTGTGAAACACTAATTTAAGAAAAAAGTGACCTCAAGGGTCTAGGTAGACATGGTTTTGAATTCAAAAGCACAAATCATACATGCAACTGATCTCTGAAAATTCTAAAAATTAATAAATAACAATGTGTCTTCAAGTGGTCACTAACAATGCATGCTGAAAAATAAATATCCATTGCACAAAAACACAATATACATGTGTCTAACTGGAAACCAATTCAGTGAAAAGACAAATCTCATTGTGGGATACTGAACAATTAGGACAGTAAAAACAAAAATAAAATCAAAACTCCTCATGGAAAAGCTGAGTGGCAAGAACTTCCCCTGTAACAATTGTCTGACAGCCCGCGTCAGCAGTCTTCTTTTTGGGGGATGTGTCCTGGGGTTTTTCGTCTTCAGCCAGAACTAACACGGACTCATCAATGTGTCCATTAGAGAGGGATTTCTCGTCTCTTGGACTATCGCCCAACACGGATCTATTCATGTAGTACCTTTCAGCCACCATGGACAGATTTGGAGATTCATTTTCGTCACTTAAATCTAAATCATCAACGTCCTTCATGCCCTCTAATTCTGCATGTTTGAAGTTCCACACTGGTACCACCCCTGTTCCACTTGGCACTGCATCAGCGAAAGCGTACTTGATTCCTCCCACGCTGATAGGCACTGCTGTAATACTGCTGTCGTTCAATTCGGGAATTATTCTGCGCATTTCTTCATCAATGTTAGCTATTGGGCTGGGAGGCTCTTTGTAGGGTATTCCATCTAGAGGCAGCTGTAGGCGTGTAGCCACCTTTTCTATCAGATCTTCAATGGATTCATTCTCTTTCCAGATTTTTGTTGCCCTCCATCTAGCTCGACTGCCTTTGGGGGCTGGTATGGCATCAAAACAAACCATCTCTCCCACAGTTAGAAGCTTATTTAAATCATCTATATGTTTTCCAAATATGTTTCTGTCAATGAACACATGTTCATGACGACCTAAATCTATAATGCCCCATAATTTGGCGATGTGATATATTCTCCCTTTCCTGGCTGTAACCACTGGTTTCGGACTGACTTGAGGTCTACTGCCTGTTATAATGACATTTAGCCTTGCATTCTTGATCACAGACACAACTTCATCTTCTGTAATGGTAAATATATTACCGTGAGCCGCAAGGAACTTGCTTAGGTCATTCTTTGTCCAGCCAATAGTGTTCCTCAAACTTTCTGGTGCCTGGCTGAAATGGCCAGTGAGGGCAGCTAGCTTCATGTCTCCTTTTTTCTCAATAATACTCTTTATGAACATGACAGCCTTGTACTCGTTGGCCGTCATAGTGGCAGGTCCGGCCCGGGGGCTGGGGCTGGGGGTTGGAAGATTTCTGTTCACCATGGGAGACCTGGGGGACATTAGAGGTGACCTGGGTTCCAGCATGTCCAAGGACTTGGGCCTCCGTTTGTTCTTTGGAGTCAGTGGAGGGACAAACTGTTCTTTCTCAATCTTGTTGAACCTGGACTTTAGCTCCACATCTTCAATGGCTTCGGCATTTGGATTGATAGCACTGTAAGTGATGTTGTCCTTCAAACTGACATTCTCTCCATCTACTTCGAAAATAAGAGGATGTCTTAAAAGCCAGTCTTTGAACTCACTTTGTGGCCCCACACACTCACGGATTTCGGAACTGGCTTGAGACAAGTGGCCAGCTAGACTGTTGATGGGCATCCACTTCTCGCCTTTCTTTAACATTTTCCCTCTAAAATACTGGACGGCTTCTGTCTCCACCGAAACTTCTGGAAGACCTGTAGAGGAAGCAGGACTGCTTTCACGAAAAGTACTCCCAAGTGAGGCTGTTCCATCATTTAGGCACACCTGAGAAAGTACACATGTAAGTTTGTAAGTTATGCAATATTACTGGTTAAAAAGATTCTAAAATGTTAAGTGATCAATTTTTATACTTTCAATTCTATGAACAAGATAATATTTGCATTTGAATTATGCATGATAATACACATAAATAATTATAATATAAGATTAAAACTTTAGTTTTGAGTATGAAATCTTGAATTTTAATCTGCAGATAGATAAGACAAGCTTTGCAAATGCCAGTAAAAGTAAGAGATGAAGGGAAAAAAATTAAAATTTGGGAACAAAATTAAAACTTTAACAAATTTTCCTTTGTTCAATGAAATTGAGGTAATTTTACTCCTTGACTGAGTGTTCCTAAACAAATCTTTGTTTCAAATAAATAGATAAATTATGTACCAAGTTTCCATTAACTGTGAAGAGAGACGGATATTTCTGTAGAAATTTCTTCAGTCCAGTTTCATTTCCTCCGGCAGCCTGTCTCATTTCTGAGGTGAAGTTCCTGCTTCCGAACCGTCCCGCTAGCTGACTGATGGTTAATGGAGCAGGACTATTCATTAAAATCTCCAGGAAATACAACATAGCCTTGTGTCCCGCATCATCTGCCATTCTGTTCTCTGTATTTGACTTACGAAAAAGGAAAAAATTTGAGGAAACTGAACTCAGAGGTGTCTCTTAGGTGTGCAGTTTCTTGTATGCATCTACAAAAAAAAAAAGATTTGTTGCATAATTATTTTCACATCTTGAATGAACTGCTAAAAATTATACGTCATATACTTGTTCCTTTCAATTCTGAATGCCTTGTGTACCAATAGATAAAAAAAGTAAGTATTGTACAGTTCATTTAATCATGTACAGTATGAACTCTTTTTTCATGCAGACCTGTTTTACCCATATCCTTGTCTTTCAGTATTTCTGATTAGATTTTTCCACGAGATTTGGAATTTACCAGTAAGATTTTATTTCCCATCCATTTTACATATACTTATGGAGAACAACTGCTTTTCCGATTACTAAAACATAATTTAATAAAATGGTCTTTGTCATTTTATACCACAGTGCCTTTGCAACCCGACATCACATCTTTGTTTGAAGTTTTTCTCTTTTTTAGCGATTTAAAAAAAGCGAGACTGAGACTGATCAAAACGAAAACTAACTGCTATTTATATTCCAAACTCGGGTATTTCCGACTTCCGTATTTTCATAAAAGCAAAACATGAGACGTATGTTGGACTAAAAATCCATAAAAAATATGCATGGCAAAATCGTAAGAGTAAACAGGTCTGTTCATGGATCAGACATTTGTGCTTTGAGGAAATAATATTGTGTACAGGGAATCTGATTTTATGTTTGCAGTATCAAATTTATACATTTTATGGGGGAAGTTAATTTGTAATTTTACGATTTCATTTTTTAAATTCCAAAATCAAATTTTAGTGTATAACTGTATAATCATCCTGGCCTCGAATCCTACAAAGCTGACTCTCCTTAGAAGGTTCCTGAAGGTGAAGTGCTCTATAGTATCCTGATAAATATTCATTGAATTTCATGAATTTAATGGATAATGGGATCAACGTGTTTCAAATGCATAAACAATTTAAAATATGTCAAAAATCATACACATTGATTCATAACATTACAGTTCTGAAGCAGTCTGTAAGCATCCCTGGATAGCTTGTTTAGCAGTTCGTTTTGTTAAAGACACGCACCATATGCCTAAACATTTTGTCTGCAGTTTTAGCATTTTTAACACACTAACATAAATGTGTGCAGTCACTACAACAAGCGTGTTCAAATGGAGAATATCACAAAAATTGAAATGCAAATGAATAACTTAACCCATATTACTTCACCAGAAAATAACCTCTGTATGCACATCAAATTCAATATATGAACTGCAGTAAAAGGGCCACGAACATCTGGGGCCCACTCGATTGGGACCCTTCTTATTCCAGAATAACCATTCTGTCTGCTCGATTGGTTTGGTAGGGTAGACTTAGAAGGCCTTCTCAGCCTTCCACGTCAGAGATGGAAGGATAGCTGAAGGATAGCATTCTAATATGGCGTCAAGCGGTTTGGCGAAAACTTGGGGGATTTTTATTATTGTAAATAAACCAAACTTAAAACAAAATACAGTTGCAAATAAGTATTCTTATCATGTATGAAGGGTAATTCTGTTAAGAAGCATTTTTTCTGTTGTGTAATTATAGTAAAATCAACCATTGAACACAGTTTCATAATTTACCATGTAACATGGGAAATTCAAATTTCAATCATTAAGTATACAAAACAAGATTTGATCATAATTAAATTTTTTTTTAACATGCTCTTTGATATTTTTCTAATTAATTGACACTTGATGTTTTAAATTACTTTTTTACATAATGATAAAAAAAAAAATTATATACCAATAATTAATTTGTACATATTATATTATAGCAATTAATTTTTCCACTCTTAATTATCTCAAGTTTCCCTTTCGAACTAACATTTAATGCTTAAAGAAAAAAAAAGGATTCAAATTCTTGAAATTCAACAACTGCAGTAATTCAAAACATTGCAGAAAAGTCAATATTGGCCATCCTATTCAATATCCTTCTATACACTATTTTATATTATATTTATATTATTTTCCAACCCTTCCAACATTCCCCTCTCCTTCTAGAAGGGTCCCAATCGAGTGGGCCCCAGATGATTTTTTTATGACCATGCCCTTTGGAGTACAAATGAGCAACTGTATATGTCTCCCGATTGCCAAATCACCTGCAAGGTTTAAATTTTTTTTCAATGATTGTCAAGAAATTTCTGTTGGATTTTTTTTTTTTTTGCACTAGGGCGCATATAATAAACCAGTTACCTTAAATACTAGATGAAATTCAAACAAGAAACTTTTCTAGTATGACGAAAAACTCTATATGCCATCTTGGGAGTTAGATTGTCTGAAATATACGATTGGAATTTCGCAAACCGAAAGGTATTTTACACAAGTAGGTAGGTTGGTCCATAAAATATTCGGATATCAAACTTCTCTTACCCCCCCCCCCCCCCCCTTCAAAAAAAATATGTCACTGCCTAATTTCACTTTAACAATTTTGTGACAAAAAATTATCGATTAAAAAATCTTACATTATAAATATTTCAAAATCATTTATTAGAATTTTTGGGAGCGGATCAAAAAAGCAGTCGACGTACAACTTGATGATTATTACCCAGCAATCCGTAGGAAGTCTTTGTACGCAGACGTAGTGAAACAAGCGCCATTTTGGGAACAAAATTTAAACTTTCAGAATGGTTATGCCGAAATGTTGTGATTGTGAAGTAGTAATGACTGTGTTTATGGACACAGTTTAAATTTAACTCTGAGAAGTACCGTGAGAGATTCAACATGTGGTGGATCATGCAGAGCATCACCAGTTTCTTCTACTACTCCATTCTAGATTTTGTATTCTTTATCATTGTTCATATCTTTAACGTAACGTCAATTTAGCGGATTGATAAGTTTTTGACGTAATTCATTATGGCGAAGGTATCCCAGACTATACAATATAGATTAATTTTTATCTAATCAAATGACGCGTTACAACCAAAATTAATTTACTTACCAATATAATTTTTATAATTTGTATATATATTTGTTATTAAATTCTGTTTCAAATTTTATAAGGATAACTATGGGTCCTGCTGTTTATAAATTGGCTGCATACACACCGTACCTTAATTTTGATATGTAAAAAAAATACATTGATGACATTGTTTTTTTTTTCAATTTTCAAGTAACACTAGATTATTGTGAAATATCAATAAGGTACATACATGTATATTATAACCAAGCAACCTAAGATACCTGTGTTTCAAATACACAATGTAAACTGTTTTATCTAGGCAATAAATGATATTTTATATATTCCAAGTTTTTTTAACTATTTGAAGTGAATTTCATATAAGAAATATAAAGCTACAATGATATCAAATATTTTATTTAATCATAAATATTTGCAAATTATCATTTTTTAACCATTAACATTTCTTTGTGTCGTGAGAATCAATTAGACAAATCATAAGAAATATAAATGTTACCGTTTTTCAAATATATTGGTCATTTTGCATATTGTGCGCGTGCACGTGCATGCATGCGTGTCCTTGCATTCCATTTTGATAGTAAAATTAAATCTTTCATACCTATTATATTCTAAATTTCATCCCGTTTGTGTTGTAGAACCAACTGTGTTTATGGCACAGTTTAAATTTAACTCTAATTACAGCACATGAGCATTCAACATGCTTTTATGATAATGCATATATCATGCAGTTTCTTCTAACGTATGACTATGTTCAAAATTTCAAAGGATTTTATCAAAAAACAAGAAAGATATTGAGACTTTAGTTTCAGCCAATCAGAGAGAAGCGCACGTGCATGCGCGTGAGATCTTGCTATAAAGACCATGTCGTCATGTCTACACTACTAATATATCCTTTCATAATGGAATTCAAAGCATTTCATCAAAAAATAGAAAAGTTACGGCTATATCTATTATATTGGTCATTTCACGTATTGCACGACACAAGCACGTGCGCGCAAAGTATATCTACATTACATGTCATTAAAAAGGTTTTACCTTCAGATGTGTTTTAAAGATCTCTCCCGGACATTTTCATAAGAAGAAGAAGAAGAAGAAGTTAAATAATATAATGCCATGTAAAAACGGTTTTCCCCAACTTCGTTTGGGGAACATAACAATAACCATTGGACTTGTGAAGCAATACTCGCTGATTATTGTTTACATTGTTTCAGGAATAAAACTGACGACTCGTACCAGGAAAGACACATGTAATGACGTATAGAATGCTTGTTATAATTTAGACCTTTTTAATAAGGGGGCAGTTACTTGGATCTTCAGTTTCCCAGTTTCACAATAATCTAGTGTTACTTGAAAATTGATGATGAACAGACAAAACAATGTCATCAATGTATATCCCTGCATTGTACCTACATCGAGTGTTCAAAATTAAGTGTCGGTGTGTCAGTCCTGCAGCCAATATACAAACAGCAGGACTCATGAATAGTTATCCATAACTTATGAAATGGATTAATTTTACACAAACAAACGTCGTTATCTTTTGTTTATGTGTTTGTGTTTATAAGATAAGAGACATGCTTGCAAACTTGTTTAAACTGTATCTTCTTTTTTTTTAATCATTGAAAAGTTAGCATGGTTAGCTTGGCTAAATAAAATAACTCACTTAGTAAGTTAGTTATTGCATGTTTTTTTTTTCAGAACTATTCCAGAGAAGAGACTGATTTGGTTGTGGGAGTCTGTTGTGCTGTTTATCCTGAGCTTCATCATCTATCTTTGTGATCATGTCCCATATCTCCTTATAACGCTGTCCGTTGTAACCTTTGGCTACACACAGTTTGGAGTCTCCTTCAACTTCTACAGATGGTGGAGACAGATGAAAACTAGGTGAAGTGTTGTAAAATAAAATGTCTTGTATTTGTACTTGTATTTCTTCATATCTTGTCTCTATATCATAAAATCAACATGAAATATACAAAGAAAAACGTATATGAAATGTTTTTTTCTCTTGGTGCTTTTTTGATAACATTTGAATGTAATGTCCCAGAGTTTCCAAAAACTATGAGAGCTATCGACAAAAGTGATAGAAAATTAAAATGTCTGATAAAATTCGCTAGAGTACCGGTCGGTGTGACCGATTGTGGTGAGGGCTTGTCCTGATTAAACTATTGTACTCTGATCTATTGCAATGTCTTCAATAAATAAAAATTTTCAATGCAGCCTGCTCCAGTTCTTCATAAATATCCATAATCTTATCCATTTTGTAATTCTACTTGACTTATTTACTTCCAAAAAAGATCGTTTTTTCCTAATTCGAATTTCCTCCATTCCTCTGTTAATGGTATTAAACACAAGCAGTATAAATTGATAAAGGTCATGAAGTTCAATGCCCACTGAGAAAAGGTCAAGTTGATTTAAAGAGGAACAGGACCTTGAGCTGAAAAAATTCCTGTCAATGAATTTTTTTCGTATTTTATATATTACTACTTTATTTTGTACTAAACATTTTAAAACGGTCCTGACATAGGATTTCTTGACTTATTCAAAAGATATCGCTCCACAAATATCGCCTTGTATCGTGTTTGTATGAAGTTAAGATACTTCATGTTTTGCGGGCCCATAACGGAGCCCATAAAGAGAATTTTGTCAGCACAAATAATAAATATGTTAGATAACACTATACATACTCAAATATTTCAGAATATTTGAAGTGTTTAAATTATCTGAAAGCATTTGTTTTAATTTCATATAGTATTTGCGTTGAATAATTTCTACATTTTCAAGGCAGTTTGAACAACACAAACCTCATTTTGGAAAAATTCTGTCAATAAATGTTGCTAACTTTACGATTGAATGTCAGTCTGTCATCATTATTATTAACTGCATAAATATCGCAGGGTGAAGCATACCTCAATATCGCACAGGACATCGTTGAATTTGACATAAGCATGATAAAAATGCTTCACGTTTGCATTTACCGAGTGCGGGAAATCAATTGTGACGTCACACGAAAACATAAAGACACAATTTTAATATCTAAATAGAGAGAATCTCTGCTACTAAACATGAAAAAAAAAAATTTAAAAATGCTTCTTCAGAAATTTATCATGATACATTGACTATGACCTCTTTATTATGAAATAAAACTGATCATGACAGGTGTAGCTAATGTGTACTTGATCTCGCTGCGCTGAGAAATCAAACACTACGTCTATGACGTCACTGACGTCGGACTACAGGAAAAAGAGAAACAAAAATGTGGATTTGGCAATTTCACAATATGTAAATGTTGGAAAGATCTTTTATAATTTTAAATATTTATTTCTAAAAATAAATGTTTAAAAAACAATTTCAGAATAAAATTACACAAGAAATGTTGATTTTAACAATGTTTAATGTAAACATCAGCATCGACTTTGACTTAATCTGTCTTTTTAGTCATGTGACATGTGCCCTGTCTCCCCTTAAATTTTTACTTTGAATTTCTATCACCACTGCTATTTATATATAATTCAATTTTACCATGTTTACAAGTGAAAATTAAACTTTTCATTTTGAAAAGAATACTAAACTAAGTAACCTTAAAATATTATTTGTTTCTTTCCCCCAACATCTACTTGGGGCTATAGTGACTTTATTGCTGTCACAAGCCTGTGTGGGCTGACCTTATCCCTCTAGGTATCATAATCAGTGTTGATGAGCTACGAAAAGATTTACACATTAAATGCCATTTTCTTTTGAATTCAGTCATGAAATATATATTACACTAAGATGTATTCGGACTGATAGAATATGCTTTGGACTGGTATAACGCCTTAACTCATCAGTCCGAATGACTGATTGAAATGCTTGGTTTTCGGAAACTGTCTTTTATATGTTCTGCACTATTACTGTGCCAAAATGGTAGTCTTAAAAATGAGAGAATAGTGTAGAAGCCATTATTGGAGACACTGTGTTAAAACTTTGACAAATTATAATTTATGATTGTTGAAGTTTAAGAGTTGCATCATACTAGTACTATGACATATTTGAATAAATTACTATGTTCATTCTGACATTCAAACATGTAAGGTTTGTTAATATTTCTATATCATTAACTCTTCGTATTTCTACAGATGGGAAGAACACCAGCATCACCAAGACAGCATGACTAGGTTGCAGGTCCAGCTAGCAATGCATCAACAGCAGCAGCAGCAACAAGAAGCACTGCAACAAATGATGGCCTTCAACCACCAGTCACAGCATGCTGTGCAACAGCCAGGTCAGCAGAACATCTTCAATGCCACGCCAGCCAATAAGCCTAGGACAGGACAGGAAGAGAGGGGCATCTACAAGTCAATATGGTCCAAAACACCAAAAATTCAGCTCAGCAGTCTATTTAAAAGATCGCAGACTGAGAGTAACGAGGAGAAGGCAGCTAATCCCAATTCTAGTCCTCCTCCACCCATGAAGAAGCAGGAGTTTAGCTTTATGCCCTCCCTGCGGGCCAAATCAAGCTTTGCAGGGGGTCAGCATTTTGCCACTACTAAGGATGATTCTCCTCCTGCAAAGCCTTCCTGGTATGGTGATAACCTTTCCCGTAAACCTTTACGATCAGCAAGGTTAATGCCTTACTCACCAGCATCAAGGCCAGAAAATGATTCTTTACGTACCAGGATCATGTCCAAATTTGGATTTGGATCTTCAGAATCTACACCTCCTGTGTGTCTCTGTTTTATCAATGCTGTAATACAATGTCTTGGGAGGACACCGGGACTTGTTTCAGAACTAGAAAATGAAGCTGCTTATAAAGACTCGGATTGCAGCATGGCCGAATTGTTACTTCTGAGCACTCTGTCTGAGCTGATGCACAGTTGTAATATGAATGGGAAACCTCTGCTTGATCCTATAGCATTCAGACAAGCAGCCTCGTCTTTGAACCCAAACCTTGTGGCTCCGCCCACTCAGCGGCAATCACAGCAGGATGCAGCAGAGTTTTTCATGTGGCTTGTGGAATCACTTCATTCCATTATTAACAGAAACAGAAAAACTAGGTCAAATGGTGGGTTTATTTTTTTATAGAGTTAAGTGGTGTCTACAACTGTGTCACATGTCATGGCTTTTGTAACGTATGTTTCACTTTTTAGTTCTACTGAGCCGAAGGCTCAAGTGAGCTTTTCTGATCACATTGTGTCTTTGTTCATTTCTGACATTCAAACTTTTCACATTTTCGACTTCTTCTCAATAATAAAACTTGGTACAAAGCATGCGAGGGTGAAGGGGAATTTAAAATTGTTATAATGAAGGGCCAAATCCCTTCACAAGGGGAGATAATCAAGAAAATACAAAAATAGGGTGGGGTCATTAAAAAATCTTCTTCTCAAGAACCACTGGGCCAGAAAAGCTGAAACTTATGTTGAAGCATCCAGTGTAGATTTTAAATTGTTAAAATCATGACCCCAGCCACAATGCAATCAAATTTTTACTTAGAAATATATAGGAAAAATCTTTAAAAATCTTCTTCTCAAGACCCACTGTGCCAGAAAAGCTGAAACTTAAGTGAAAGCATCCTGGGGTAGTGTAGATTCTAAATTGTTCAAATCATGACCCCCGGGGATTGGGCGGGGCCACAATGGTGAATCAAAGTTTTACATAGAAATATTTAGGAAAAATCTTTAAAAATCTTCTTTTAAAGAACTACTGGGCCAGAAAAGCTGAAACTTATGTGAAAGCATCCTGGGGTAGTGTAGATTCTAAATTGTTCAAATCATGACCCCCCGGGGATTGGGCAGGGCCACAATGGGGAATCAAAGTTTTACATAGAAATATATAGGAAAAATCTTTAAAAATCTTCTTCCTCCACTGGCCATGAAACTTATTTGAAAGCAGGAAGTTTAGATTTAACTTGTTCAAATCATGACCCTGCGGGCCCACAATTTGGAAGCTTGTGTGTGTAAAAAAAAATAAAGGTACAGGGGGTCAATTTCGCATATTTTTTATTCGCTACTAAAATTCTACTTTCTATTTAAATCTATTCATAGATAAACATTCTTCTCCTGCAAAGCCTTCCTTCCATATATTTCTGATAAATCAATTTCAAAAAACCTTTACGATCAGCAAGGTTAATGCCTTACTCACCAGCATCAAGGCCAGAAAATGATTCTTTACGTACCAGGATCATGTCCAAATTTGGATTTGGATCTTCAGAATCAACACCTCCTGGCCTTAGAAATGAAGGACAAAATCTCTGTTTTATCAATGCTGTAATACACACCATATGTTCAAATTAAAGAAAAACCTTGTAAAGCTTGAATGCAAATGAGCAAATATTCATTGAGTTAGAAAATGAAGCTGCTTATAAAGACTGATGTCGGATTGCAGCATGGCCGAATTGTTACTTCTGAGCACTCTGTCTGAGCTTTGATGCACAGTTGTAATTTTTGATGAATGGGAAACCTCTAAAGCTTTGATCCTATAGCATTTTAGACAAGCAGCCTCGTCTTTGAACCCAAACCTTGTGGCTCCGCCCAATTTTTTTTCAGCGGCAATCACAGCAGGATGGGGCCACAGAGTTTTTCATGTGGCTATATAGGAAAAACTTCAAAATTCCATTATTAACAGAAACAGAAAAACTAGGTCAAATGGTGGGTTTATTTTTTTATAGAGTTAAGTGGTGTCTACAACTGTGTCACATGTCATAGCTTTTGTAACGTATGTTTCATTTTATCTTTGAGACGAGGGGCTGAGAACAATTTGGCAACATGCAAATACTATATTCCTTGAAATAAAAAAAAAAACAATCTAATACGTATTGTAAAACAATCTCTTTATATTAGAATTAAAATTAGGATGTTGATATTGTAGACAAACCAGCTCCAAGGGAATCCAAACGCTTAAAAGTGATGAAATTCATTTATGGAGATTTGACACCAGCCAAAGTAGCAGACCTGAAGAAAGCATGTAAACAGGAGGTAGGTACAGTTTACATGTAAGTTACATGTAAATTAACATTCATTGGCTGAGTAAAAGGATAAAAAGGAGTGGATATGAACATACAAGAATGTAAACAAGTCTGTTTCTGAGTACATTTTCTTCATAGAATTTTAGACATGAAATTAATATAATAAACTTTTGTCAATTAACGTATAAACAAGATTTTTAATTAAAGAAACTAATTATGATGGCTTAATAAATTGATCGCCTTACATGTAGAAGTACATACGAAAGTTACAATTTAGCAATTTACTGATTATGCACTGTATTTCAGATTAATGCAGCACATGGTCTGTTGAATGATTCTTATGCAGAATCTGTACAGAGACTGTCAGATCTGGAGTGGATCACATACAAAGAAGAGAATTCCTCCGTCGTGGACAACCTTCTCACGGGACAGCTGGTGATCGCATACCACTGTCTGGCTGACAACCACATCTCCGTCAATATGCAGACTTTCAGCATATTGCCAGTGCCTATAGAAGCCCCCAGACAGGTGAATGGGCTAGTCCATTTAAGTGACTGCTTTACTAAATTCTGTAATATCGAACATCTAGTGGGACAAGATGGACTGGAGTGTTCGTTCTGCAATGCTCAGAGAGCCCGGCAGCTAGAACAGGTCAGGACGCCAGTGAACGCCCCCTACCTCAGGAACAATTTTAACTTCCGAACCCCTAACGGGAGGACTACTGCCTTGTCCAGTGCTGATTCCGCTGTGTCAGGGGTTGGTTCTCCACTGGCCACAAACTTCATGTCCCCCATACCCGGGTCTAGGGACATTCTTAGTGACAGTGGTTTTCAGGATAACGTGTTCAAGACATCCACCCCTATCAGTGACAATCAAATCCCTCTCCCACAGCGCTTACGAGATGCCCAGAGACGATGTTCATTGCGTCAGCTGCCGGACTGTCTCGTGATCCAGTTAATGCGGTTCTCGTTCAATCCCTATACAAGGCAGACCAATAAAGTCCATGCTCCCATCTCCATTCCTTTGTCCAATCTTGATCTCACCGATGTCATGTTCGATACCATCACAAATCGCGAGGACCTGGCCGAAGAGGAAGCCATCTATAAATATGATCTCTATGGGTTGTGCTGCCATCTTGGAGGGGATAGTGCCAATTATGGACACTACGTTAGTTACTGTCTCCATAGTGACAACAAATGGTACAGGTTCGACGACGAACGTGTCATAGAAGTTGACATGGAATATGAACTGACAACACATGAAATCAGACAAAATGCCTATCTATTGTTTTATAAAAAGCAGGGCATGTCTGTATAATGTATAAATAGATTTTATTGTGGTCTGTTATGTGTATAGCTGTATATGAGTGTAGAGTATTTCTAGAAGTATTGACTTTTGAATTAAAAAAAAAAAATGGCAAACTTTTTTATCTAACTTCCAAAGATCAGTTTTATTTTTTTCTTTATACTTTTTAATACTAGACTTTCATTCTTTGCCTTATTAAATTAAACTATCCATGTAATAAATAATATATCAAACATGATTAGATTTGATAGAATGAATTTACATGTGCAATTTTTCCCAGGGAAACTTTCAAGAATAATTTTTATGTAGTACTATAGTAACGCTGTTTTGTTTACTACTACTTCAAAAGCCTTTTAACACCTTACTCTTGTAATTGTCATTTGATATTGAAAAAGTGCAAGTTTTAGACTACATGTATTAATATGTTTGATTGAAATCTGATTCAAAGTGGTTTATTTATTAAGCTAATTTACTCTGCCATTATAACTAAAAGACATGATTTGAAAATGTCAGTTTTTCAGGAACAAACAAATAAAAATGCATTGTTCTTATTGAAAATTATAACAGCCAAAAATCTACCAGAGTTGGTTATCATTTTTTCTCAACAGATATCATGGTATTAAAAACAATAATGGATAACAAACAAGATTCAAAACTTGTTAATATCAAAATGTCTAGCTCTTTCATATACTGGACCTTAAACAGACTTTCTGAGAATGTGCCATAAGAAACAATACTTGCATTACTTAATATGCTTATATTTATAAATAAAATTCTGTAATATGAAAAACATTTCAGAATATTTCCCTTTTTAGTGGTTAAGTACTGTTTGTACCTATTAATGTGATATATAAAATGCTCCAAGGTCATAAAGATTAAAACAACAATATACATGTACTTGAATTTTTATGTATCTATTTGAGGTTGGGGTGGGGGGTTAGAAATGATCAGCTTTGACCAGGTTAAGAGGGAATTCAAACTGCAAAACTATTTTAATAGGAAGAAAGTTGCCTCCCCTCCAATTTTGTATTAACACGATGGAGTACATTTTAAGTTCCTGTGTAAAGTTAAAAAATACATTAATTTTACTCAATTTGAAAGGTTTGTTTATTATCATGTTTGATGTAGAGTGTAAGAAGATTTGAGTATTTGCTTTGAAACATGATATAATGAGATAATAATTTAATACTTTCAAAAGATGGTTTAGTAGATGTAAAATAATATTACTCATACCAGGTATCTAGTGCTTTGCAAGAAGACATTATTTTTATTTAAAAAATGCCGACAGCAAGCAAATGACAAATTTTCTCATAGTACATTTATTTTTGTGGGGTAAATTTTTCAAGATTTGAGGAAAAAGTAAGGGTCAATGGGGACATAAATTGTTATGCATGTATTAGAAAATTTTATATTTCATGTTGAACATGAATTTAATGGTCTTTTAATTCATGGAAACAAGTTGAAATTAACCCCTATTGAAATAAGTTAATTCAAGTTTGTGAAATTTATTTATCAGTTATTTCAAAAATGTTATGCAAAGTATTGGAATCCTTTTAAAAGTTGCACAACTTTGTTAAAAACTGTTATTTCAGATTTATAATTACTGGATAATTTATTACAAAATTGTCTTTGTATTTGAATGTACAATAAAATTTATATGGCAAGTATTACTACAAATATTTGTAAATATAAATGTACTTGTATATGAACCTGACTTTGTTTCCTTTGTCATTTTAATTTTTACCTTGGCTGGTTAAAATTTACTTTGGTAATCTACTTCAAAGTATTTTAAATACAATAGGACCAAAGGCCTTGAAATGCTCTTCTGATATGAACTGAACAATCTCTTATCACTTCTATTTGAAGCAATCTAAGTATCCTGTATATTTATATTTAGCCTTGAAATTCCAAAAATAAATCGGCACGACCCACATTGTGGTAAAAACACTCCGAGAACCCAAGATGAATGGACTGACAAAGTTTAATGATTTTAAGCCTCATTAATTGAAATATTCAGATATGGCCCTGAGATTTCAGAAGTAGGTCATGGTGACCTACTCTTTGGTAATCATACTCAAAGACCCCAAAATACCTCAACTGACAAAGTTTAACAATTTTAAGTCTCTCATTATTTGATATACTGTGAAATCACTTGTATTTAGTTTTTGTTGTTTTCGGGGTGTGGAGAGACCCCTGAATTCACGGCACCCTTGAAATGTAAAATGTAATATGCATTATTCCTCAATATTTCTCCAACCTAGAAATAAAATCCCACAAACCAATATTTCTTTCTCAAACCTTGAAAAATTAACATCTCAAAAATAGGTTATTTTACAGTATTTTAGATATTGCCTTAAAATCCTAAAAAGTGGGATACTTTGACTCACTTTTTAGCTGAAACATTCTAATTTCTGAGGACTTAAAATGCATCAACTGACAAAGTTTGATGATTCAAAGCTTATTAATATCTCAAATATTTAAATATTGCCATATAATTTCAAAAGTAGGTCATGGTGACCTACACATACCTTTCAGTTGAAGGACTCGAGATGCATCAAGCCAATATTTAAATACAGCCATAACATTTTTAGCTCACCTCAACGAAGTTGGGGGAGCTTATGTAATACCCTCGGCGTCGGCGTCGGTGTCGGTGTCGGCGTCGGTGTCGGCGTCGGCGTCCCGGGTTAAGGTTAAGTTTTTTGGAGCAGTTTTCTTTTTAAGTACTTCTATGTCCTATATTGATTAGACATGCATGGAAGATGGTTCTAGTGTGTTTCATTGTACCAGTCAAAGTTTCAGATGCTGCAATTTCAGCAAAGGAATGACCAGGTTAATGTTTTGGAGCAGGTTAACATTTTTGGTGCAGTTTTTGGTGTAGGTTTCATTTCCAAGTAACTATAAGCCCTATGTTGACCAAACTTGCATGGATGATACATCTAAGGATGCATACTACCGGGCTTGCTTCGGATGCTGATTCTGACCTACATTTTCCAGTTGAGTGAACAGGTTAAAGTTTTTGGTGCAAGTTTCATTTCCAAGTAACTATAAGCCCTATGTTGACCTAACTTGCATGGATGATACATCTAAGGATGCATACTACAGGGCTTGCTTGGGATGCTGAATCTGACCTACATTTTCCGGTTGAGTGAACAGGTTAAAGTTTTTGGTGCAGGTTTCATTTGCAAGTAACTTTAAGCCTTATGTTGACCAAACTTGCATGGATGATACATCTAAGGATGCATAATAGAGTTTGCTTCGGAATCTGAATCTGACCTACATTTTCCGGTTTTAAAATTTTTTATGCATGTTTCAATTCCAAGTAACTATAAGCCCTAGGTTGACCAAACTTAATTGCATGGATGATACTTCTAAGGATGCATACTACTGGGCATGCTTCGGATGCTGAATCTGACCTACATTTTCCGGTTGAGTGAACAGGTTAAAGTTTTTGATGCAGGTTTCATTTGCAAGTAACTTTAAGCCCTATGTTGACCAAACTTGCATGGATCATACATCTAAGGATGCACACTTCCGGGCTTGCTCGGATGCTGAATCTGACCTACATTTTCTGGTTGAGTGAACAGGTAAAAGTTGTTGGTGCAGGTTTCATTTCCAAGTAACTATGAGTTCTTTAATGACCAATCTTGCATGGATGATACATCTAAGGATGCATACTACCAGGCTTGCTTCGGATGCTGAATCTGACCTACTTTTTGTGGATGAGTGAAAATGTTAGTTTTTGATGCATGTTTCATTTCCAATTAACTATGAGCCCTATAATGAGCAAACTTGCATGGACGATACAATGCACACTAATGGACTTGCTTCGGATGCTGAATTCGACATACATTTTTCAGATAATAGACCAGGTAAAAGTTATGGGTGCAGGTCTATTACCAAAAAACTATAAGGCTTATATAACATTGTATAAACCAAACTTGCACAAATGTTGCATCAAGAGATGAAAACTCTCAAATTTGCTTCAGATGCTGGATTTTGATTACATTTTCATGAAGAAGAACTAGTTTAAATTTTTTATGTAGGTCTATTGCAAAGTATCAGATCAAAATTGCTTAAATATTTTCATATTTGGAATGTACACTTTTTGTTGGTTAATTGTGTGACTTTGCCTTACTTAAAGACAACATTCGTTGAGGTGAGCTCTGTAATCTCTGATTACCTATGTTTTAAAAAGGGTCAAGGCAACCTACTTCTCATTTCACCTGCTTGAAGACTTGATGTGCATCAACTGACAAAGTTTCACTTTGATGATTCTTATCCACTTACAGTGTAGTATCTGAATATTTACCTGGTAATTTAGGCTGCTAAAATTTAATTAAAAGACAGTTTGAATAGTTTCAGTTTAATAAGAAAAATGTCATTCACTTGCTTTATTTTCATCAAGCATATACAGTTGAAACAGAGATATATCCTGATACAATTATATATTAAAAGTAGAGGGACATGGTAACACATCAATAATATTTAATTTTTGCCTGATTGATATTTCAAAAATATCATCAAAATAGCAGCTTGGCTGTTAAAATAAATCTGAAATAAATTATATGAATGCCATAAAACATTGGTTTGACCTGATATGATCAATTGGGATCTATACATGTAAATGCATATTTAACCTGTCTCATTTGCTTCAGAATAACAGAGTAATATAGCTTAAAATTGAGGCAGTGTGAAAAGGGACTCATTCTTCAATGTAAAAAAGAGGTACCAGATAGTCAAACTCCAAAGTCAAGAGATCAAAAATGTTGTTATTTAGAGACGATGGGTCAAACTATGTTGGTACCCAATGAAAAGTCTTGTCAGAAGAAATAACGAGAAATATGAAAAGCATATTTATAGCTCTATTCAATCAAATATGAGGGGATAGCACAAAACTGTATACCCCACAAATCTTGATTACAGGGCGTAAAATTTAAAAGTTATATAGCTATCACAGCAGAGAGCATCAGATGATCAGAGGGATAATATTCCTCATCCATGACCATTGAAATAGTTCTAAATGAATCTACAAATACCTTGTTAAAACTATATAAGGCAATAGCCAAACTTAAAATGGAGAAAAGTAATAAATAAAAAGGAGGCATTCTAAATAATGGCCACCTCATGCAGCATCTAAAGAGTTTAACTCTTGTGGAAGAGCGGTGCTTTTTAAAATTGTCTGGATGACATAAACAACAGTTACAACCCAAGATTTGAAACACTGCCTCTCTTCTAAAATCTGCACCATTAATAAAAATAATTAAAACAGCAAAAAATATGTGAAAGCAAACAAAAATGAAAACAAAGGCAAACAACACTATGTTTTTGTAGGTATCTTGGTTGCACTCCTGACAATTTGGCAAATCACAGTTGTTGGAGTTATCCCCCTTCACACACATTCCACATCGACATGAACCATGTGGTCCACAGTCCTGTAGACATGCATAGCCTGTCACTCCCATGTAACTGAGATAGGAGTGGTGGATCAAGGATTTTAGTCTGTGGAAACTGATGCTGGAGCTATACTTGTCTTTGTAGAAGGAACCATCTCCAGTAAGTGAGGCAGCCTTTATTTCCATTTTAGAATTAACAATAATTCTGTCTGGACGGCTCTCCAGTCCTGGGGATGGCTAGATAAAGCATTTAATTTATTAAAGTAGAATTTTAGAAAATTATTTGATTCTTCATATACTTCATTATTCTTCATTAGTACTTCATATTTCAAATAAATGATCATCCTTTTTAAACTTTTATAATGCATATGTACAGTGTGTCTCATAATCTGATTCATCATTTAAAAAAAAACAAGAGGCCCACGGGCCTTATAGGTCACCTGAGCATTATGCAACAATTTTCCAGTTATTGAATTTGATTCATGTTTTAAGCCAGATGCTGTATGACATTCACAATTTTGAAAGAGGACCATTGATCATCATAACAATACACTTAACAGTTGCTTAGCTTGGTTACTGAATACCCATATGCAGGGTAGGGGAACAAAAATGCATTCCAACTAACCAGTAGTGCCCCTAACACTTTGACATAAACCCCTGACCCTAGGTCCACACATTGCACAAATTTCAAAAAGGCACCCTTAATATCAAAAAATAAATATAAATGTTTTATAAATACAAAAGAGCACATTTCAAACAATAAATTCATTTTCAGTATATAAGTAGAGCCCCCACCCCACCCCTGACCCTGGGGCTTTGAAATTCACAATTCTGCAAGATTAGGGCCCTTGCTCATCATAACTATAAAGGTAGTTCATCTGCTTTATACCCAGAGACAAAGAAAAAAAAATTCAAAGATTTAATGTATTTTCATTATATAATCAATTGAGCCCCGCCCCCCTAACACCAGAACCCCTGACCCTGGGGCCATAAAATTCATTATTTTAAAAGAGGCATTCTTGCTCATCATAACTATGTACTTAGTTTATTTAATTCCTAGGAGCAGAGAAGAAGATTTTCAAAGAATTCATGTATTTTCAATATATAATCAATAGAGCCCCGCCCTAACACCAGAAACCCTGAACCTGGGACCATAAAATTCACAATTTTGTTAAAAACACTCTTGCTCATCATAACTATGCACTTAGTTAGTTTATTTAATACCTAGGAGCAGAGAAGAAGATTTTCAAAGAATTCATGTATTTTTAGGTCACCTGAGTAAACTCAGGTGACCTATTGCTATCTGTTTTCGTCCGTCGTTCGTCGTCCGTCGTTCGTCGTCCGTCGTGTGTTAACATTTGAACATTTTCAGCTTCTTCTCTGCAACCACTGAACCAATTTCAACCAAATTTGGCACAAAGCATCTATGGGTGAAGGGGAACAAAAATTGTGAATTTCATGATCCCTGCCCCCCTGGGGCCTGAGGGGTGGGGCCAAAACCACTAAAATTAGTGCAATCTTTAAAAATCTTCTTCTTTACTCCTGGACATCAAGCAGTCAAACTGTTTGCATGATTGTAATCAGCAATGAGTCCTTTACCAAAATTGTGAAATTCATGGCCCTGGGGTCAGGGGTTCTAGTGCTAGGGTGGGGCTAAATAAGTATATAGTGAAAATGAATTATTTCTTTGGAAATCTTCTCTACTCCTGGGTATTAAATAAACCAACTAAGTACATAGTTATGATGAGCAAGAGTGCCTCTGCCAAAATTGTGAATTTTATGGCCCCAGGGTCAGGGGTTCTGGGTTAGCGGGGCTCTAATTATATATAGTGAAAATACATGAATTCTTTGACAATCTTCTTCTCTGCCCCTGGGTATTAAATATACTAACTAAGTGCATAGTTATGATGAGCATGAGTGCCTCTACCAAAATTGTGAATTTTATGGCCCCAGGGTCAGGGGTTCTGGTGTTAGGGCGGGGCTCTATTGATTATATATAGTGAAAATACATGATTTCTTTGAAAATCTTCTTCTCTGCCCCTGGGTATTAAATATACTAACTAAGTGCATAGTTATGATGAGCATGAGTGCCTCTACCAAAATTGTGAATTTTATGGCCCCAGGGTCAAGGGTTCTTGTTGGGGGGGGGGGCTCTATTGATTATATAGTGAAAATACATGAATTCTTTGAAAATCTTCTACTCTGCTCCTAGGTATTAAATAAACCAACTAAGTGCTTAGTTCTGATGAGCAAGAGTGCCTCAACATTGTGAATTTTATGGCTCAAGGGTTCAGGTGTTAGGGCGGGGCTCTATAGATTATATATAGTAAAAATAAATGAATTCTTTGAAAATCTTCTTCTCTGCTCTTAGGTATTAAAAAAACTAACTAAGTGCGTAGTTATGATGAGCAAGAGTGCTTTTACCAAAATTGTGAATTTTATGGCCCCAGGGTCAGGGTTTCTGGTGTTAGGGCAGGGCTCTATTGATTATATATTGAAAATACATGAATTCTTTGAAAATCTTCTTCTCTGCTCCTAGGAATTAAATAAACTAAGTACATAGTTATGATGAGCAAGAATGCCTCTTTTAAAATTATGAATTTTATGGCCCCAGGGTCAGGGGTTCTGGTGTTAGGGGGGCGGTGCTCAATTGATTATATAATGAAAATACATTTTTGAAATTTTTTTTCTTTGTCTCTGGGTGTAAAGCAGATGAACTACCTTTATAGTTATGATGAGCAATTTTTGCAGAATTGTGAATTTCAAAGCCCCAGGGTCAGGGGTGGGGTGGGGGCTCTACTTATATACTGAAAATGAATTTATTGTTTGAAATCTGCTCTTTTGTATTTATAAAACATTTATTTATTTTTTGATATTAAGGGTGCCTTTTTGAAATTTGTGCAATGTGTGGACCTAGGGTCAGGGGTTTATGTCACAGTGTTAGGGGCAATACTGGTTAGTTGGAATGCATTTTTGTTCCCCTACCCTGCATATGGGTATTCAGTAACCAAGCTAAGCAACTGCTAAGTGTCTTGTTATGATGATCAATGGTGCCTCTTTCAAAATTGTGAATGTCATATAGCATCTGGCTTAAAAAATGAATCAAATTCAATAACTAGAAAATTGTTGCATAATGCTCAGGTGACCTATAAGGCCCGTGGGCCTCTTGTTACTATATATAATCTATAGAGCCCCGCCCTAACACCAGAACCCTTGACCCAGGGGCCATAAAATTCAAAATTTTCGTTGAGGCACTCTTGCTCATCATAACTATGCACTTAGTTGGTTTATTTAATACCTAGGAGCAGAGTAGAAGATTTTCAAAGGATTCATGTATTTTCACTATATACATGTAATCAATAGCCCCCCCCCCCAACACCAGAACCCTTGACCCTGGGGCCATAAAATTCACAATTTTGGTAGAGGCACTCATGCTCATCATAACTATGCACTTAGTTAGTATATTTAATACCCAGGGGCAGAGAAGAAGATTTTTAAAGAAATCATGTATTTTCACTATATATAATCAATAGAGCCCCGCCCTAACACCAGAACCCCTGACCCTGGGGCCATAAAATTCACTATTTTGGTAGAGGCACTCATGCTCATCATAACTATGCACTTAGTTAGTATATTTAATACCCAGGGGCAGAGAAGAAGATTTTCCAAGAAATCATGTATTTTCACTATATATAATCAATAGAGCCCCGCCCTTACACCAGAACCCCTGACCCTGGGGCCATAAAATTCACAATTTTGGTAGAAGCACCCTTGCTCATCATAACTATGTACTTAGTTGGTTTATTTAATACCCAGGAGTAGAGAAGAAGATTTCCAAAGAAATAATGCATTTTCACTATATACTTATTTAGCCCCGCCCTAGCACTAGAACCCCTGACCCCAAGGTCATGAATTTCACAATTTTGGTAAAGGACTCAATGCTGATTACAATCATGCAAACAGTTTGACTGCTTGATGTCCAGGAGTAAAGAAGAAGATTTTTTAAGATTGCATTAATTTTAGTGGTTTTGGCCCCACCCCTCAGGCCCCAGGGGGGCAAGGATCATGAAATTCACAATTTTTGTTCCCCTTCACCCATAGATGCTTTGTGCCAAATTTGGTTGAAATTGGTTCAGTGGTTGCAAAGAAGAAGCTGAAAATGTTCAAATGTTAACACACGACGGACGACGAACGACGGACGACGTACGACGACGGACGAAAACGGATAGCAATAGGTCACCTGAGTTTACTCAGGTGACCTAAAAATCATATTATAGGTTGATATACATGTCAGTAAACTCAAAGAATGCTGGACAACTTGCACCCAAGACAGGTCGCCCCAAGACAACTCGCCCCCTATTCATGACAACTCACCCTCTATTCAGAACAACTCGCCCCCAAATCAAGAAAACTTGCCCCCAAATCAAGACAACTTGTCCCCTATTCAGGACAACTCACCCCTAAATCAAAAAAACTCATCCCCATTCAAGACAACTCACCCCAAAATCAAGACAACTTGCCCTCAGTTTAAGAAACCAACAAAAATTTAATATTTTATATTAAATATTTGAATTCAAATTGTTTCTAGAAAGTTAAAACAAACAACTAAAAATATTAATAATTATTAAAACAAACAACAGAAATATTAATAATATGCACACTAATGTATATTGTCGCTACTCAGTGGAACTTTTTATTCATACATCTTTGCTAAATTCACATATTTGTTTACACTTTCATCACAAAAAAAATAAAGATATGTAATTTCAGAGCTTGCATGCTTTTATTTTCCATCACGCTGAAGTTGCTTCGGAGGTTGAATACGACACGCCATTTTTTAAACCTAAATATTCGTAATTTCGGAGATTGAATGTCCTAATTTATCAGAAAGTAACACCAATAGATATCACTTTGAAGTACTGTAAATCACTTTTTATTCGCGAGAACTTTATTTTCGCGTAATTACGCGAGACAGTGTCCTCGCGAAAATAAAATTCTCGCGTATAATAGCATTCCTTAAGATTATATAGAGCAATAACCAGAATTCGTGAAAATTTTGTCTCGCTAATCAAGAGTCAATGACAATCACGCGAAAATAAGGTGTCGCGAAAATTTAGTGATCTAAAGTATCAAAATTAGTTGTTAGCTTTGAAAAGATATCACTTTGAAGTATCAAGATTAGTTGTTAGCTTTGGTATGTCAATAAAATTTCCCTGTGATGTTTTCATTAAAATCATTATCATAAGTGTGCTAACGCCATCAGTAAAACGTTAATTTCGTCATTAGATAATTTAGATGTTTTAACACCGAAGAATCAAAAATTAAAATTATTAAAATAAAAATAATTCATAAATGATTATTTTAAAAATGTGATAAATCAAAATGCATTCTTCACTCTATTTCATAGGAATATATTAATTTATCAAAATAACATTCTTTCTTAAATTTTATTAATTCAAGAAAGCATGTTATTATGTTTACTTAAATCTTTTATGCATATACTCTGTTTTAATACAAAAATGTGAGGTAAATTTATGCATCAAGGAAAAAAAAAAATAACCTAGCAAGATTGATTACAATTTAGTTCTGTAATATAATATTGATTATAATTTAAATTACCATATAAAATATATACATGTACATTATTATTGAATAAATGTTTTTTACCCTTGTAATTCACATCAAAAAAAATAATGGGGGCGAGTTGTCTTGAGTGGGGGCGACTTGTCTTAAAATGGGGGGCGAGTTGTCTTTAGTAGTGTTGTGGGCGACTTGTTTCGGAAGTGAGTTGTCCTGATTCCATTGATTCCAACTCTAATATGCCCAAAAGGCACTAAAATGAAACAAGAGGCCCATGGGCCACATCGCTCACCTGAGAAGCTTTGACCATTCTGTTCTTTACCAGATTTCCCCTTAAAATACATATTGTGACCCCACCCTACCCAACTGATCATAATTTAAACAATTTGAAATCTACACTACCATATGATGCTTTGATTCAACATTGTAAAACTTTGATTCCCCATCGTGGCCCCGCCCTACCCCCAGGAGTCATGATTTTAACAATCTAGAATCTACACTACCCCAGGATGTTTCCACATAGGTTTCAGATTTTCTGGCCCAGTGGTTCTTGAGAAGAAGATTTTCAAAGATTTTTCCCATATTTTTCTATGTAAAACTTTGATTCCCCATTGTGGCCCCGCCCACCCCCGGGGAAATTGACTTTTAACAATTTAGAATCTACACTACCCCAGGATGCTTCCACATAAGTTTCAGCTTTTCTGGCCAAGTGGTTCTTGAGAAGAAGATTTTTAAAGATTGTTCTCATATATTTCTATGAAAACTTTGATTCCCCATTGTGGCCCCGCCCTACCCCCAGGGGTCATGATTTTAACAATTTAGAATCTACACTACCCCAGGATGCTTCCATATAAGTTTCAGCTTTTCTGGCCCAGTGGTTCTTGAGAAGAAGACTTTTAAAGATTTTTCCTATATATTTCTATGTAAAACTTTGTTTCCCCATTGTGGCCCCGCCCACCCCCCGGGGGTCATGATTTTAACAATTTAGAATTTACACTACCCCAGGATGCTTCCACATAAGTTTCAGTTTTTCTGGCCTAGTGGTTCTTGAGAAGAAGATTTTTAAAGATTGTTCTCATATATTTCTATGTAAAACTTTGATTCCCCATTGTGGCCCCACCCTATCCCCAGGGGTCATGATTTTAACAATTTAGAATCTACACTACCCCAGGATGCTTCCATATAAGTTTCAGCTGTTCTGGCATAGTGGTTCTTGAGAAGAAGATTTTTTAATGACCCCACCCTATTTTTGTCATTTCTTGATTATCTCCCTTTGTGAGGGGACTTGGCCCTTCATTTTAACAATTTAAATTCCCCTTCATCCAAGGATGCTTTTTATCAAGTTTGATCAAAATTTACCCAGTCGTTCCTGAGAAGAAGTCGAAAATGTGAAAAGTTTACAGACGGACAGACAGCTAGACAGACAGACGGACGGACGACGGACAGAATGTGATCAGAAAAGCTCACTTGAGGCAAAATATTAAAAGTACCATGTTGCTGAAAGTATATCCAGCCTCTTCCAATCCATGTACCTCGGTCCAAGCATCCAAAAATGTTTGTCTTTTTCGTCGAAAGCTTTCTAATTGGGGTATGCAGCCTTTGAAATCTGTCCTGCGTTTTGAAGTCAGCAACTTTAATGGCCATTCAAAATCGTTATAGACATTCATATCTCCAAGGATGACAACATATCGATAGCTTCTTTCTGTAAGGATGGAATATATATATTCCTATGTAAAACTTTTATTTATCATTCTGGCTCCAGCCTTACCCTGGGGATCATAATTCAAACAAATTCAATTTTATATTCTGTAATGAAAGTTTCACATAAATTTAAACTTTTCTGACTCAGTATGCTCTTGATAAGATTTCTAAATGGTACCCCCAAATCAAAATTATCTCCCTTGCAAGAAGGCATGACCCTTCATATAAACAAACTTGAATCCTCTTCTGTAACAATACTTTGTGGCATAGTTGGTTGAATATGATCAAATGACTCTCAATAATATAAATAATTTTAAAGACATAAGTCAGAAAAAATGTGACCAGAAATGGTAACTTGAGCCTTCGACACAGGTTAACTATAACTGAACACAAGCATAAAAAATCATACCTCTGAGTAAATGTAAAAGGGCATCTGCATTTTCACACTGTTGCTGTCTCACATAAGAGAAATGAACAACAAACACATCCAGGATTCCTGAGTGATCTGTCCTAACTTTAGCATGAATAATTACTCTTTTATTTGTGTCTGGTCCCTGCTGATATGGAACAACTTTTCTATTTGCAGATACAATTGGATATCTGCTCAATATTCCAATACCTAAAACATCACAAACAAGGGATAACTTTGTGTTTATACTTTAAAAAAATCACAGCAATAATGTTCACTGTATCAAAATATGAAAGTTACAGCAATAATGTTCACTGTGTCAAAATATGATAATAAAATAAAACATCAATAATATTTTAAATTGATTAATAAGTTTTTACATATACCATGGATGTAAAATTTACCTTGTTACTAAACTGTGTTTATGTCCACAATATACATGATATAAAGATAATTAATTATGTTGATGTGAAAATCATTCAACATGAAGAGATTTCCTATCTCTTTAATTAACAAGGCTTACTGTTCATTTCTTAACATCTTTCTGTTCTTCTAAATAAACATAAAAAAATTAATAAAACCTTCATAATTACTCGATTTAGGGCACATTCTAGTAAGTATCTAAACAATCAACACAAATTTAATTTTTTTCTAATTAGGCATACTTACACGTTACATTGTATGTCAGACTGAAAAATTAATCATAGCGCACTCATATTATGTCATTCTAAATTAAGAATTATCTTTTCACAGAATGTTGGATACCTTCTCCCTTCCATCCTCTATGAATCGAGTTATCCTTCCTTGATACATCATTTGCTTTACTTATAAATGACCACTGGTATTCAGGAAGCAGTTTCTGAAGATCAGACACCTGGTTCCTTCCTGTTTCAGCATCAAATCTCACCTCTTGAAAACCAATGACATCAGACTGTTCTTCCCTTATCTAGAAAGACATGCATGTTTACAGAACAATGGTTGTCTTTTCTGCAGCCAGACAGAATTCCTTATTCAGGTCTAGCACAATCTCTTGATTTTGCTATATAGCTTAAAATAGGTTTATTATATATCTACTTTGATAAGCTTTTTAATGCAAATCTCAATCAAAGATAGTTCCAATATTGCAGATTTTGAAACATGAATATTTCCATTGTTTAAGTAACTGTGCGTGTGATAAACTCCATTAATGCCTAAATGGGCATTTTAATAAGATATTTGATCACATTATAACCAACTTCATGTTTTATGCCAATGAACGCTCTAAATAACAATTTCGGATTGATATCAGGGACCTCATTAGCTGCAGAACTGTAGCTCTCCAAAAGATAATATATTGAGAGACCAATCTGTCAATACATATTTTTTTTTGGAGGGCTGCAGTTCTGCAGCTAGGATCATCTTATGGATCCCTGCAGATATGCAGACTATAAAATAAATATCAAATCTTGATAAAACACACCATTCTTGCTATTCGATATTTTCTAACATCCCAGTTAAACATTATGTTCCATAAATTGTATGTTGTGACCTTCATCAGGCCGAATACTGGCGATGTCAAATAAAACGACAACAATAATGTGATAATAAGCATTTTTCTTCCATTATCCGGGCACCGTCCAAGTTTGTATTCCGAATTATTTTCAGTACAAGAACTTTGATTGGATAAGATTTTACAAATCAACGATTTCAACCAATCTACACTTAGTTCTCAAACCACGTTGTTAGAAGTGTCTATTTTCGCCTTCGTGAACAGAAGAGCTAATGAGCAATTTGTAAACATTGCATACGCAGTAGCAAAAAGATATGGATTTTAAAGCATTGCTACAAGCAGAAATTAACAGAAAAAGACAAAAAGTAGAGTCGAAAGACATACTTGTAAGCCTTTTACATTTTTCTTTCGATTGCAATGAGCTACACGTGGACAGTTCAAAGATGATCTGAAATTTATTTTCATGTAATACAGTGAGGTTGCCGTTATCGAATCACTTAGTAAATTTGCTTGGATAGTTCGTACCTGAGTTTGAGTTAAATTCATTTTACAACATTGTTTGGTGGTACTATGTTTTACTTATAACATCATATATATTTTCCCAATAACCACTGATTAAATAAAAAATTATCGCTGTACTTGTATGAATGATGTTTTATCCTTTAGCGGATCATTTTCTCCGTTACCGAATCACGTGACATAAAGCTGATTATTCTGGTTCGGGACCGTGTAAATTTAAAAAAAATACCCTTCTTACGTAACGTTTTACTATGCCTTAAAATATTTCAGCCAAAAATAAAGAATAGAAAGGCTAGGAATTTTTTGAGTTGTTTGCATCCGAGAATTAATGCAAAAACAACAACGTACAATGAAATCATAGGGAAAGCAAATGACTATAGTTGATGTTTAAGAGGACGTAAAAACTTATATGTGATGAACTGCAAACAGCCGAAGAATTAATTTTTGATTCAAGAATTGTACTAATTGAGAAACCACGCCCCCCCCCCCCCTCCCCATAATTTGCCGCTATTTAGATAGAAAATATATCGCTAGATATATGATTGTGCACCCTCAAAAAAAAAGTCCGATGCCCCTTTTTATGCTTGATTAATTAATTGTCAAGGAATTTTTGTGGTTGATAGTGCCCCCTCAACTGAAAATGTATGGCTCTGCACCCCTCCCCCACCAACTGAAATTGCTTCCTACGAGCCTGGCTTCAGAGATACCTAAAGCTGAAAGGAACAATATATTTTTGCAAAATGTAAATGCACAATAACACTTCAAATTTCCTCCAATGAGCAGAGACAACTTTACAATAATTTAAAATGTTGGGATATTTTATTTGCTGGATTTCTCCATTCCAACATCCACAGTAGGTTAAATACCAGTATTCTGATTTATTAAATACTGGAGGTTGTCCTTTCACTTTCTATGGGTTGAATATTGAACTGTCCATATCATGATCTTCTACTATAGAAATGAATAAGACAGCTCATTCTCTCTCTGCTGCTTTCATAGTGCTCTTTCTTCTCTTATATACGTGAAGACAGTGGCATATCTTTCATATAGGCAAAAGGCTGCAGTCTCATATCATTTTCTCAATGTGTAAAAAATCAAATGTACATGTATATGTTGAAAAAGAAGGGGGGGGGGGGTATCATAAAACTCTGTTTATAATTTATTTAGCTTGATGTTGAATTGAAAAAGTATTGTTAGCAATATGCATTTTATATTATACGAGCTTGATCTTGATCATGACAAGAAATAAAAATTGATTATCTGAAATAATTATTTTTAGTAGGAAAACTGCAAACGGGGTATTGTTGGAAATACTATGATTTAATAGAAAAGTTTAAATTGTAACGGGATAAATAAGTAAAATTTCTAAGTCTTAATTTTGTTTGGTAATCATGACGATTTTAATTTTGCCATCGTCGATGTCTTCACATTAACTTACATGCACATATACCGCCAGACATTCTCGAATCCACATGCTCTGCACTTCTTACTGATTTTGGCTGCTGATTTTGTTTATGTGCATTTTAATCACCTTTATTGTACGCTTTTGGCAGACATCTTCTGTTGTTTTTTTTAATTGTAACTGGTGTGCAAAAAACTGCATACAAAAAATTATAATTTAGACAGGATCCCTGCATCTCATATTTCTTGAAACAGTGATTCGTTATTGGAAACCTCAATACCTCCAACTTTAAAGCGAATACTATTAATTTCTGATTTAGAAATTGTATGACGCTTTCAGTGCTTTTAGATACATAATTTTATTAAACATCTGCACCAAATTTGTTTACCTAGAATGTACGATTCACATTGGAGGTATTTTATCCAGTAAAAGTGAAAGTTTTCTGCTTGCATGCACGCTTCTTTCTGCGTCACAAAAAAGCTTGTTCATGTTTATTTAAAAAATAGGATATTGAACAAGTTGAATTTAATAATTTTATGATAATTGATAAAAGCAAGAATAATTCAGCATGACAGGGTAGGTATATAGCTAAGTATTGGACTTTGATAAGAAAAATACAGAATTTTCATCTGAAAGTGATTCGTTAATGGGTGCGATTCGTTATTGGCAACCTCACTGTACGTTTCCATGATTTCAGGCACCAAATAAAAAGTATTTCAAACGAGGAGATTTAGCAGCAAAGGAAGAGGAAGAATATTGGAAAAGACACAAAAGGGGCGATGACAAAAAACAAGAATCTCTAGAAAAGGTAGTTATTTTGTCTTTATCATGCTTACCGTACCTCTGATCACTGGCAATATATACCAGCTAGCTAGATTAAAGTCCTTGTAATGGTCTGTCAGGTCAAGCTACCACTTTCAGTCAGTTTATTGTGTAATTTCAGAAATCTTCCAAATCTCAGACCAATTGTGCCGCACAAAATGATTCAAGAGAACGTGCCTGAATTCTTACTGTAAAATCTAACATTTTATTCACAGAAAATTTATTTTCACCATATTACACGCATAAATATATTTTTACTTAAACATACATAAAACAATAACTAGAATTTGTGAAAACTTTGTCTCTTTAGGCCAGCTAGATAAAATTAATCTTTAGATTCTGATCCCCACCTGCCCCTCTCAAAGTGTCCAGCCCCATTGTTTTTATTTTGATTTTTGGGTGTTGAAAGTATTTTCATGTATTTTTATTCAGCAAGAATTTGGTTCAAAGTGTAAGAGTTTATCTCCCGTCTGTATTAAAAATAAACTGCCGCTATTTATAGCAAAAGAGCCATGTGAAGAATGGAAAAAAATTGCCAATAAAAGCAGTTAAAATATGTAAGGAAAAGATGATTTGTCAGTATAGAGAAGGCAGTGAAGAAAAAATACCATAAACACATCACTGACATGAACAAGTTTTTAAAGAGATTTTATCTAAGTAAAAATGGACGAGGAAAATGACACTTGTTCAAGTTTTGATAATCTCCAGCTGTATGTGATTTTGCATTAAAAAAAATTAATATATATTATTAAAACATCGTCAGCAGACTTTAGAGAATAATAGTACTAAGGAAATGTTAAATCTTAAAACTTTTCAGGCTTAGGCTTTTCAGTAGAATATTTAACAGATTTTGTAAATATCACCTATTTTAATGTCAAACATGTCAAGTCTCAAGAACGATCAAATTTTGGAAGGTGGAAATCTGTGATATTTTACAAAAAAAGATTCTGAAGGATTTGTTGGTTAAACTAAAATGTATTTGGGGAAAGGCCGATGAGAAGACATGCATATGCGATTTATTGGTGGCCACACCTCATTTTGTTTGGCATGTGACGTTAGTCGTATATGTGTACTTCATAATTTGTTAATTAAACTATAAATATTAAATTTTTTAAAGACAAGAATGTTCTGTAGATATTTAAAAGAATATTAAAACTATAAAAAATCAATTCATATTGGCATCAACATAATGAAAAAAAAAAATGTGTACAAAGAGATGAAAGAGTCCAATTATTGTAAATACTTTCAATTATAAAAAATAAAATTTGCCCACCCGCCCCAATTTTTTTTAGCAAATTAGAACTGGAATCTAAAATTTAAATATATGTGGCCTTATAAATCCCTAATTGTATATGTGTACTTCATAATTTGTTAATTAAACTATAAATATTAAATTTTTTAAAGACAAGAATGTTCTGTAGATATTTAAAAGAATATTTAAATATATGTGGCCTTATAAATCCCTAATTGTCTTGAGAAAACAGACCTGTTTACTCTTACAATTTTGCTGTATTTTGTACGGATTTTTGGTTTTAAATACTTCTCATGTTTTACTATCATGAAAATATGGAAATCGGAAATACGTTTGATTAGAATTTTTAATAGCAATTAGTTTTAGTTATGATCTGTCTTACTTTCATGCTTTTTAAATGCTACAATAGAGAAATATTTCAAACACATAAATGATGTCGGGTTGCTAAAACGCTGTGGTTTTGTAAAATGACAAAGACCATGTTGTTAAACCATGTTTTTGTAATCAGAAAAGCAGTTGTTCTCTTTTATTTAATACATGTTAAATTGATGAAAGTGAAATCTTACTGGCAAATGCGAAGTCTCACTGACAAATCTAATCAAAAATATTGAGTGACAACGATATGGGTAAACAGGTCTGAGAAAAAAATGGGCACAGGTATTCTGGTACATGTATTTTGCTATGTTTCAACAAGGCCAGTACATGTACTACTAAATGTTCTAATCACTACATTTCTAATCAAGCTATTAAATTGAATATTAGGAGAAAGATTCACAAGAAGAGCTTGTAGGACAGTCTGAAGAAAAGGTCCCTCAACTGGCAAGAAAAGAGGTATTTATTGTCAAATAAAAATGATAAATGATGCCAAAAAACTATATTACATTTGAATCATTGTACAGTGTTTATTGAGGTTCTATTTTCTTTGGCAAACAAACATATATTGGTTAGTTTGGACATGATTTTGTGAATAGCACATATATTCCAAAGACTGAATATTCTATACTTTGGAAGGATAATAAATGTTCATTGGGATGTAAATGTGAGGGTAAGGCCATAGGGCAACCCACAAAATCCATGAATAATCATGTCCCACAAAAAATTTTTCCAAAATATTCATCAGTTAAGAGTTATTTGTTGAACTGACAGACAATGCCTCAACTGTGATGGGAATTGTTGAATTTTAGTAGGACAGTATCGCTATACTCATTTTATTGATTTAATTGACATGAAAAATATGAATTCTCTATTAAAGTGCTTAGTTTGTAATTGCCAATTACAAAAATAAAATACTTCTTTTTTCTCTTCATGTGAACTAAAAGGGCTAATAAGATTTACATAACTTGTAAATACATATACATGTAGAATTGGAATGGTCAAGTTGTATTTATTCTTAATTTTAATACATAATTTAGGAAAATTTTTTCAAACTTTTGAAATGCACTAAAAAATTTCTTTGAAAGAGGTAGTCAAAAATGTAAATTGGCAAAGATATTGATCATGATTATGAATGCTGACAGTCTCTTAATAATGACAGGTAATAAGAAGACTTAGAGAGAGACATGAGCCTATCCGACTCTTTGGGGAGAGTGATTACGAAGCATATCTTCGACTAAAAAGACTGGAAACTGACGGCCCTGATGCCAGAGAGGTATGTTATTTGTTTCAAAAGAAAACCATTGTTTTGGTTAAAATTTGTTCAAGCTTCTTTTTTTGAGATAATACTGCAATAGTTTCAATACACAATTTAAAGATACATGTATATTAAAAAGATTTGTGTATATACATGTAGATATTAACATCAGCTTTAAATATAACGACACCATTTTTAATAAATTAGTAGACAAAAGATGTTGGATATTTGAATATAGTAAAATAAAATCAGCCATTCCTAAACTGTTTTATCCAATACTGAAAAGAAACAGCTCAGTATCAAATAGCGAAACAAAACTCCCTTATAAATTGAATAATAATTTACTCATAAAAAGAGATACTAATAAAGTGGTAACCTTTGAAGATATCAAGTTAAAGAACATAGAAAAAATATTAAACAAGACAATAATTCCAAAATGTCAAGAAAAATGGGAAAATATTTATCAAAATAACATACAGTGGAACTTAGTTTGGGACAGTATTTCAAAAATGAAAGTAAAAAATAAAATTCAAGAATTCCAATGGAAATGCGTGCATAATATATTGTATACTGAAGATAAATTATGTAAAATTGGACTATCCAATGGTTTATGCAACCTATGTAAAAATCATAAAGAAAATCAACAACACCTCTTTTTCCATTGCACAAGAGTGAAAACAACACTCAAATTACTAGAAGATATAATTGAAAATGTGCTGCAACTAAATGGAACTTTACAAATTGACCAACAAACAATAACATTAGGCTACTTGAAGGAACCGCAAACCCAAAGAAATGTTGTTAACATTTTAATATGTATTTATAAATGGGTCATATGGGGCGACTTCGATTCGTACCCGAGTATTAACTCTTGGTTGACGTCACATGACGGGTTGTTTACACAAACATGTGGTTTTCAAGCGAACTCATGTGAGTTTGAAGGGTAGCGAAAATAATGGCGTTCATGTTTGCTCTGTGCAATAGTTTTATCAATAAAGTGACAATTTTGCGCATTTTTTTTATTCTTAGGAATTCAGGCTCTAAGACCATAAACTGAGAATAAAGTTTAGATTTTGAATATTTTAATAATTATTTAATTCACATGCTTAAAAACATTTAAGTACACTGTATTTGTAACTTGAATATTTTGTGTGTTTATTTTCATCTTATTATTTTTTTAACATTTCACTAATGAACAAATAATGCATACGCCATGTACCCATTTAAAAAATGTACTTTGGGAAAAAAAAATGAATGAGAATCTTAACTTTTTGCAGCTACAATGTAAACTTTTGATTTTTTTTAATATTTCGTAAAGAAAAAAGTAAATCTGTTAATTTATAAACAATACGCACTTGTTCGTTTTTATTTATACTATTTTCTAATTACTTTTTTTTTCCTCTGTGAGATTTAAAAGGCGGTCAAATAGGTCCATTTTGACATCATCTGTTGTGTTATTTTTTTTCTATAGCTTTTGCTGCAGTTGAATTTTTTTTCCAGCTCTGATTTTTTTTGGTTCGAATTTGAATTTATGTCTGCTGTTATCGGGCAGTAAGTCTGAAAAATCTAATCAAATAAACATATATTCATATACATTGTAAAGCTTTCATGTAGAAAGTGCGTTTCGAAGTTTGCTTTTAAGGATTAGCGATGCTAAACATCATATTTTGAAAAAAATAATTCCTACAGTTCGGGTTTTTCTTTTGACGCCGCCATATCGAAACTCTAGTAATCCTACTGTATGGCTGGGTTAGCTTGGGTAGAGTTCATAAGGTCATATGACGTAATTTGAGTAGTAACTATGGTCGTTCGATTGAAACTCAAGTAACTCGAGTACGTACTCGGGTACGAATCGAAGTCGCCCATGGAAAACAAGAAATAAAATTAAATATGAGAATTTGAAAATAACTGACTTCAGTATTAAAAATGCATTCAAAAATGAAATGAAATCGAATTTTTCACTATTACAATCACATGATTTGACAAATTTCAGATAGAAAATAAATCATGTATTTCAAAATTCCTTGTGATTCTAATACTAGTTATAGTATTGGTAGTATATGCTGCCGTGATAAACTATATATACATGTATTCACATTTTAAATCCACTATAAGACACACTAGTTTTTTGCTATGTTATTTTTCAGGTAACTGGAAACTTTATGTTTAAAATATGATTCAAACTATGTATATGAGGAAAAAATATTCATGTCTTTGTAAAATTCATTCATTCTGATGTGTTTTTTATAATCTAATTTTATTGTCACAAAACTCTGCATATTGATCCTGTTTTCAAGATGTAAAACATAAAGAGACCAGTATTTTAGGGTGACCTGGCCCTAAATACTAGTTAGAGATTGATATAGACTTTCTTTTTTTTTTTTCACACAATCTCCACTGCAACAAGGGTCATGCTTCTATTGGTGTTAAACGAATACTTTGTTTTTATATATAAAAATGGTAAAAATTTCCTTTGAGATATTTATGTATATGTATGAAAATGAAGCGTCAATAATTATATATTAGTATAGTGTGAAAAATTCTGTGTTCAAATATTGGAAATATATTATATAATATTATATCGATCCAGGGAGCTCCTGGCATCCCTGGTGAAGTATTACCAGAGGGCTTCTGCGGAAGTTTTGCCTCACTGTTATGTTGTACATTATTGAATAAATGATTTGAAAAAAAAAAAAAAAAAAAAACATCAGCTTTCAAACAAAGATTCCCCCCCCCCCATGTTTTCTGTAATCAGCATTCCTGATAAATTAATCTTTCATAAAGGTGGGTGTCAATATTTACATGCACCCAATATTACTAGGATATATGTAGATACAAAATACATAGATTTATGCTTGTATATTACCAATGTTTTGCAATTTCTCTTAACAGGAGGGTTTCAGGAATGAGTTCAAAGCAGCTATGGACAAAGTGGACGAAGACTATTTCAAAGAAATGGTAGAAGCTGCCACGTCTGGTGAAGGTGGCAAAAAGTCAAATGATGTCTCAATCAAAGACGATGGAACTACGGTGGAGGACATTCAGGTACACTTTATTCAGTCCATCTCAATTCGAAAAATGTTTATTAGAACAAATCACAAAAACAAAATTAATAAAAAATTTAAACTTTGTAATATATGGAACTAAATGGGACCAAGGAATCAAAAAACTTTATAAAGCCAAGAACTCAAGATGTGGAGGTTAAGATACTTGAAGAAAAAGTGCTTGGGGCTTCCAAATCACCTTGATATATCT